TTATTGCTGTATATGGTGTAGCAAGTGGGAGGGGGGGTGCGTGGGAGGCAAACTGGTGCTTATGTTAGGAGCGGAGAAGGGGGGGGAAGTAGGGGGGGGGTGGTGTTGGTTGGTTTTTCCTGAAAAGGTATCTTATTGCCTTGTCAGCGCTAGCCCTGCACAGTACCTTTCTCGTCCTGGCCCGGCATAATCATACTGTACACTGTGTACTCCCGCTCCGTGCAGCTTGCTCGCGAGTGCGAGGATGATTTCTGAGAAAGGGAGGCAGAGCGGCTGAAAGTGCGGAACACGCCGTCCGCCCTTCCTTGCCTTGTTGGAGAGCTGGTCGAGATTTTGATGCGAAAAGGGTATTGATCCTTCGAGGAACACGTGTCGATCCCGTTTCGGCCGTCGTATGTCTCCCCTGTTTGTGACCACCTGCGAAAGCACTGACGCGAACCCACGAGCCCCCCCCCTCTCCCCCCCGCCCGGAGTTTGTGGCGGGCTGTTTACACTAAACCCGGCAGCGGCGTCGGTGAGTTGGCCGTCGTGGATTGTAGTTGATAGATGTCGTCTATTTCATACAACTCCTGAGGAAGAGGGTCCGTCGGAAGGCTCTGCCTGCCTGCGAGGAGGGCCACATGGAGTTCAGACAGGGTGTGGCTGGCGTGTCCCTCTCTTTCCTTTTTTTTCTCCTTCTTCTTCCTTCTCCGCATGATCTGCCGGGGGCGTTATTATTTTCGGGGTTCTGTCGCCTCGCCCTGCCAGATCGTCCGTCTCCCTGGACGACATGCCTCGTGAGTGAGGCTTACCTACTTCTTGCCCCCTGGGCACCCCGGGCCTGTTTGATGCCGTCGAGACCCCGAGGCTCCGGCGCTGGCCAGGGCGCACCGCACCCCGGGGTTCTCTCAGCTGAGGCCGGGGGCCTGAGGGGCACGTTCATCTCTTTGAGGGGGATGCCCGTCAGATTCAAGGTTCATTCAACCTTGGCAGAGGCGGTGGGCGGGAAGCTCCAGAGTGCCAGTGTACCGCGCATGGTTGTACAGCTGTACAGTATCACAGTATGATTTGCCCATGTAATAAATGCCCTTTGGTTTAGGCCGTGTTAATGCCGGCTAAAACGCGCGATGGCCGTGCCCGCTGTCAGCTGTGCGATACATAGAACGCCTCCTATAGCCAGGCTAGAGTGATGAGCAAGTGGCTGCACCTAGCGAGGAGCGAGCGAGATCGGTCCCCTATATCTGGTGCTGGGTCGCGTTCTGCGTACGGGCGTATATGTATGTCTGCATGTGTAAGTGCATGGCGGGCTTACAAATCGTATGTACTTGTCGGGTTTCAATCACAGATCTCATCTTGTCCACCACATTGGCCACTCCATGCGACTCAAGCCACACAAGCTCCAGCAAGGGCGGTCCCGTTCAGGATTCAGGATCAGTCAAGATCAGATCGATGCCGTTATTAGTGGGTTCGCCCACGGGTCTCTCGGGACTTAAAAAGAGCCACGTGGGACAAGGAGATTGAGATGCCAATATATGGGTTCCGCTATCAGTAGGTTGCCTGCGCCGAAAGGGCCTGCCTGGCTGAAGGGCAGCGCCATTTACAGATTACCTCCGGCCCGTTCGAGCAGGCCCCTCCCCTGGCTTGACGCAGTGTCAAACTGGACTAGACGGTGAAACACGATCCTGTTCATTCGTGGTGAGGTGAGGGCTGAGAATTCAGTTGCGCTCAATTTCCCATGCCGACAATCCGGACAGGCCAGAAAAGGCCAGCTGATGATGCCCGGCAGCCCGCGGCGGCTGTGAATCCGATTTTTGAGTTGGATGCTAGTCCGGATGGACTGGTAGTTCCTCCTGTGTTTCCAGATTTAGTGTACGCGACATGAGCTGCACGGTGTCTACCCCGCTGCCAGTCCTGACAGGAGGTAATGAGATGGCAAAGCATACTAAGTAGGCAGACATCATATCCACGTTAAAATGTCTTTTTTCCTTTCTCTTTTCACTTGGCAGTGAAAATACGATAGTCACCCAACCCAGGCTGCCAAGTTGACAGGGCATCACATCTACACAAGAGCAGTCCCTTTTTCCCAGCGATACGGGGTCGCCGACTGTGGGTCCCCGGGTTGCAACTCCAGATTCGGGACATCTCACCATGCCAATCTGATGACAGCTTGGGTCCTTCGGCCTACGCAGCCGGAGGACGGGGACAGCAACCATGCCAAGGACGCACCATGTCGTCAGTTTCTTCTTCGGCAGCGGCCAGCCCTCTCTCGCCTCCTGCACCCTGTTCGTGCCCGATGCTCCTTGCAAATCTCGTCACAAGTGCATGTGCATACAAACTACGACGACGACATGCACACCGCGGCGGACCAGGCCCAGGGCAGCCCGGAGGAAACATGGCATCACCGAGAGGCGAAAAATAGTAAGAGCCCACAGGGCTGGCAGGCGAAAACTTAATCACCTGACAGTGCTAATTATATCACCATATGGGGAAGGAGCCAAGTTGTCGTTGACGCCACCATCAGATCTGTCGGATATCTCCAGATCCATGCTACTGTACGTATTTCGGCTGTCAGTTTGTAGGGCTCCCGCTTTCGCCTTCTTGGTCCCCGCCAACCGCCCGTGCCGTGGTGTACAGTACAGAGCGCGATATGCGCAATGGTTCGAGTGAGATTCTTTGGTCGGCGGCAACGGTAGCATCAGCACATGGTAGACTATCTGCGCCAAACACACGATGCGTGCCTATCTAGTCTGATAATTTGGCTAGTCGTGTCAGATGTTGCGCTTGCCGTGATAATACGAACTATACCCCAGCATGCGTACCAGATCTGTGCCACACCTTGTTTCCCACCCGATGGTTCTGTCCGGCGTACATCCTGTCTCTTGTGCAAATGAAGCCCGGTATTCTCTGTAACCATCCAAGACATAAACTTTCCTAGCGAGCCCTGGATATTGCGCGTGGGTTCATTTTTCAAAACCAGACAATTAGACAAAAAATGATACTGACCAAGAATAAAAATTAAAAACACACCCCCCTTCCCCATATCCGGGGTGGCCTGCCACATCATCAAGCCGGCGTCACCAGGCCAGGTCCCGTCCAGAGGGCGGCGAGTCAGCGCGGGCCCCGGGACCTGCGTCATCGCCAGTTCGTACATCACTCCAGGAAGAATCCGAACACAGAGATAGGGAAGGGGACCCACGGCCGGCGTGAACGCCGGCCGGATGGTTCGTGTGCCGTGTTCGTGCGACCCAGGGCCCCAGTTTCTCGAAGGAATGATGGCCCTTCCAGCCGCCCTTCTAGAAGGAAGGGTCCCTTGTAACCTTTTCTCTGGAGCTTGCTTCCATGTCAGCAAGAAGGGGGGGCGGTTGGCCGAGCACGTGAATAGTTTTACTTCGCCTTCTCGTGTACACACACACATGTACACACACATACGAGCAGGAACTTCCGATCTGGGGGCTGCCTTGAAGGTGGCTGGTGAAGCGGGTCTTTCGCGCGTCCCGTGTCGAGATCTCGACACGGTGCAAGATACCCTGGCACGGTTCCCAAAACCCATGTCCCCCACCTGCCTTGTCCGTGAACGAGTGGCCAGAGAGCCCACAAGGAGAGCACAGTGCGGGCGTGGGGGGCCCCCCTTCACGCGCACAAGGCATACGCGTTGCTATTGCTGTTTGCTTTCTTGCTTGCTTGCCTGCATGCTGCTGGGGGGCGCTGTTTCGGTCAAGTCCTGCTCTGCTATTCTTGTGGGCTCTTGTCGGTCAACGCGAGGGGAGAAAAAGCAGATTTGATGGGTTGATGGGGAGATGGGAGATCGCCTTTGCACTGCCTTTGCCCTACCCGATGCAAGGAATAGCGTCTAATGTGCGCCCCTCCCCCCAGCTGCCCCCAAGGAATTCCAGAACGCTGTTGCCGAATCCCGCTCCCCTGACGAGACAGGTGTTCGTTTCGCTCGTTCGTGCCGCCGCCCGGTTGTGCGCTGTGCGCGCAGAGGAGACCCTTTGCTGGCCGCGCTGGCCTGGTCCAGGCTTGTTGGAGACGGCCAATGCAGGGACGATGCCAACGGGTTCACCGCTACTGCGGCTCTTTTTGAAGTGAGCCTGCCGCTGATTTGCGGACAGGTGCGCATCCACACGTGGTTTTCCGGCCGGTTGCTGCTGGCCTTGTGTCACCTCCAGGCTGGCATCTGCCGTTCCCTCTGATGAAATCCAGGGACCAGTAGGACCCGACGTCAAGGGGTTGATTATACCGTACTGTGCACCCTGGAAGGAAAAGTGCAGAGAGGGTCTGTGTGACCGCTTGCGGCTGGCCTCACTACACACGGTGCAGTACGCGCCTCTTTGGCGCGCGCACTCCACGATACTGCCGAGTTGGTTGCCATGGATTTCCCACAACCCAGTGCCAGCGTCTCCCTTGCAGGGAAAGGTATGGTACAGAGTCCAGACATGCCCGCCGCGGATTGGCATTTCGACGGACATAACGGGGGCCTTTCTTTATTCCCATCTGCCGTCGCGCGCGGTATTTGCACTCAGTGGCACACCGCTCCAAGGGCCCATTTCCGGCTAGATTGCCATGGAGAAAAAAAAAAAAAAAAAAAAGGCTACCACAGTATCGCAGATACTGGTACATACGTGCTGCGTGCTCTGCGATTTTCCAACAGCCGCCCTGCACGCCTCACGAGGGGAAAAAATAGAACCGCCACCATGTCATTTCCCATCCCACCGCCTGGGCATGTAAGAAGAGAGCTCTGCACGCCGGAGCTGACCGGTTCGTGACTAAGCTTTGAGGATTTGAATCAAGGAAATACCGAAAATCGGGCTCAGAAGATTACGGCAGCACGGGGGACAGGCTGCATTATTCAGGAGTTAGCTTTGCCCGAGATCCGGCTGCGATTCCTCGATTGTCACCCGCGCGCCGGGCAGCAGGTATCATCTTGGACGTGACCAAGATGACTGCCCGAGGCAAACGCAACAACAGCATTGCCGGGGCGGCGCGCGTGTTAGGGGAGTCAGGAGCCTGACAGCAGGCAACTAACATGACTTGGAGGACAGGGGGTGGGGCAGCGTCATGCGAGGTGCGCCACGCCAAGCCCAGGGCCATGTGTTGGAGCGTTTTGCTGAAACCGGAGGATAAAAAAATAGGGGATGAGACGGGCGGCCACAGGACGGAGTTCGGATTGACAATGACTGGGGCAGTAGCATCAGCCGCAGCAACGACAACGGCGGGAAGAAGTAGACGGGGTTTGAGGGAAAAATGAAAAAGAATTGACGAACAAAAAAGAAAAAAAATAAAGGAGACGAAACGTTTGTCCCGCCAGCCCGCCCACGCAGGCCACGCACATTAACAGACAGCATCGCGTGCAGCTGCAGGGGCTAGGCCCTCACGGCCAACGAGCTCGCACAAGCAAATCCGTGTCGCGGCTTGCCTCGTGGAAGAGATCCCTGAGGCCATGTGCAGATCCTGCCGACCCTGTCGTGCTGCCACCTACCCACCACACCCATCCGAGGAGAAAAGGTGACCAACCCCCGTCCCTAGGCATGCGGACGACACACACATGCATAGATACACTGTGTTTTTTCTGCACCGGGGGACGAGTTTTCCTTCACTGTGCAACTGTGGTTAGCGCAGGCAGCTGCACCAGTTAGCCTTGCCTTGCCCACCAACCCCCCCCCCTTCGCCAAATACCGCCTCAAGCATCGTGCCATTGGCGAAGGGCGCAACCGGCAACCACATGGCGCACCCGGCAGGATGCCCACCCCCCTCTGAGCCTAGGCCGGGCCCGGGTCTCGTTTCTACACTTTGGGCCCAGCCAGCCAGCCAGCCAGCCCTGGTAAAGTGGTCTGTCTGGCACTGCCTGGCCTGCCCCGGCGCAGCAATAATTGAGCGAGGGCGTGTGCCATTGCTTAACTCCGGCGTTGTTGCCGGCAGCAGCTGAACAAAACCACTGCATCCAGACGCCTGTTTCAGAAGCTCCCCGAGATGGGACCAAGAGGCTGGTCGTCCGGGCTTTGCTCACGAGGGATCTGCGCGCGCCGTTTTTTCTTCTTTCGTCATGATCAGTTGTGCTTGCAAGGAGGCTGCAGGCTGCACGTATCCAGATGAGGGTCGGTTGCTCGCATGCAACCCGTCGCGCGTGGCTTTCGCCTCCCGACGGCCCCCAATGCTCCGTTGGCCGGAAAATGGATTACAGATTGCTGCTGCTGACCAAGGGGGCCGAGGGGCCGGGCAGGGCAGGGCGGGACTGGGCATGACTGTGCATCATGCTGTTGAGGTTGGCATCCAATCCAGCCACCGCTGTAGCTGTTGACATGTCTGCATGTGCGAAATGCTGGATGGCCGGCCGCTGATCCTTTGCCTGTTTCTGGACTGTGCTGATCGGCGAGAGGGCAGGGCGGAGAATGTTACTTGTGCTCGACTGGCACCTGGCACCAGGGCACCTGGTCATGGGCCCCATGTGGCAAAGGGCAGGTGAGGGCGTTTCGGGAGGATGCGTGCTCCAATGAAGCTCGTCCCGCCAGCTCCCGCCCTACGATGTGATGTGCCTGTGTGCTTGCACAGACGCATCTCGACCAGTTGGCTCTCCAGTTCCCTTATTTTTGTTTCAGCCCGGCAACGAGAATCCCACGTGGTCCCAGAGCCGGGGCCCGGGAGGTGGGCAGGTGGGGTGGAGGACGGAGGGATGGTCTCTCGCGTGTTGTTGTTGGTTGTTGGCGGTGCTGCGCGCAGCAGGCCAGCAGGCCAGCAGGCTGGCTGGCAGGCTGGCGGTGTTGCACCAGGAGGAGTGCTTTTTGCGGCTGTGAGACGGGATGCAGGGAAAACCAGCAGCCAACCAGCCAACAAAGCCCGGGTTGACGGGTCGCCGCCCCCTCGACCGTTCGACCCGTGGGGGAGCTGAATGGGCGTCGCGGTCCAATGGGCAGGCGGGCCTGAGACGTGTTTATTTTGGAGGCCGATAAAAATAACGATTTGGAAGAGGCCGTGTTTCTGTTTTGTTTTGCGGCGAGGCGTCTTTGCTGTGCTGGATGTCTCAGGTTCTCTCCTTGGTCGGGACCCGAGGGCGGGCAAGCAGCCTCTGGGGTGCAAGATGCAAGGAATGGACAGATGGACAAGCGCGCCTGGCAGCCCTGGGTGCCACCAGCTCGTGGGTTGGGGGATCTTGTTGCTCCGGAAGGCGTCCAGGGCGCGAGGTGGTGAAGGGTGGCATGCCTTCCCTTCTGGGCCCAGGCCGTGGCTGGCCGTGGCCCGGCCGTGGCCCAAAGCGTACTTACGCAGTACTTTGTCTTGATTCTTTCATTCTTTCACTCACCTGCTCAGCAATAGTGCTTGCCCTACGTGTCACACGCCAACAACCTCTTCAGGCTCTTGTCCTGTGGAATCTCCGTCTCATCGCCTCGCCCAGTCAGCCCGTCAGCCCAGCAGCCCGGTTCGTCTTGACTGGAGTAGCGGATATCCTTTGCCTCGTCTCCCTGGATCTATCTGGTTGACATGCTGCGAGCCTTAGCAAAAAGAGCTGTGCCGAGGGCCGATCTTGTGCCTCTCTGTAGGAGCCTAGCCGGGGGCTGCCTGGGTGGTAGCGACCCTGCTGGCCCAAACGGGTTTAGAAGGGCGACGGCCTGGGGGGGCCGCAGGGGGGGCTGGGGGGTGATTGTTTCTCGCCCCCCTCCGCTCCCCTCAGCAGTCTGCAGGGCAGAGAAAGTGTCGTAGTGTACGGAGTACTTGCTTGGTTAGATGTCGCAGCTTCCCTGGTGCGAGTACAGGCCGTGTGTGCGACACTGTGCAACCCAGCAGATACCCCGCCGAATGGCCCCATGTGCCATGCGATGCGGCGCCCTGATGCAATGACGCCCATGTCCTGGTCCTCCTTTTTCCCACTGCCCTGCTGCCCTCTCTTGGGTGGCAGAGTGGCAGAGTGGCAGAGTGGCACTGGGTGGGGCCGGCAGCTCGCTTTTTTATTTTTCTCTGCGCCCACAGGCCATCCACACCCATCCGCACACCATCAGCCATGCCCACCCCCCCTTCCACCACATTGCCCATCCTCCGCAGCTTCTAGCACATGGCTTCCGGGAGTCTCCCCTGTCGTGCCAATTTTTGTTCTCGATACTCCGTACGCTACGCACAGTACGTAGATACGTAGCGCCTTGTACCTGCCCAACCCCGCGGCCCACCGTGTGTCTGTCTGTCTGTCTGTCTGTCTGTCTGTCTGTCTGTCTGTCTTGTAGTACGGCGGGCGGTCGCCTTCTTGATCGCAGGCTGCTTCTTTTTGTCCTGGTCTGCATTTGAGCATGGGCATGGCATGGTGTTGTGAGCCTGTGTGAGACCCTCTTTTCTCTACTGTGACCTCTTCCTGTCTGCCTGTTCCCGCGTGGCCGCCTCGTCACTTGTCCACCCCAGTCCCCCGTCCCCCGTCCCGTCACCCGCCTGCACTACTCCGTACTCGTTCGTCACTTGTCATTTTTTCTGCCATTGTCGCTGCCCCAATCTTGAATTACTACTACTCAGCCCGTTGCTACCTCCCGTACGCAACCCTCGATTTCACCCAGCCCAGTCTGCAGTCTGCTGCCATCCCGTTCCCATCCGCCGGCCGCTGCTTTCGGTTTAATTGCCCTGGCATTCGACAGTCTTGGGGGGGAGAGAAGCGAGACAGAAAAGAACAAGACAAGACCTTGGGTACGTAAACTGCCTGCTTTGCCTTTCTCTCCACGCCACACACGCACTCCATCGATCCTCCTCTGCGTTGTTGCTTCTGTCCCGTCGCCCCTGGGCACATCATTCAGTCTCGCCATTCCACGCCCGTTTAATCCAGTCCTCACCACCACCACCACAACCGCAACCACCACCTCCTTCGCCGTTCACATCTCGCATTCCACATCTCTTTGTCTGCGACTTCCCCCCTTCCACACCCCAGTCTGTTGCCCTGGCCTAGCCGTGCGTACCCTGCTGCGTCCAGCTGTCCCTTGTGGTTCGACTTTTCCTTTGCATATCCGTTTTGTCGGCCTGGGATAGTGGCCCAGAGCCCGCAGCACTTGCATCAGCATCAGCATCCGCATCCGCAGCAGCAGCAGCAGCAGCAGCAGGCACGGCTCTCCCAGCACAGTGCAGTGCAGTGCATAGGTACGTTCTTTCTCTTGTCGCCCGCCCTCTCCCTCCCTCCCTCTTGCCTGGCCCATTCCTTGGCCGGTTCCCACCCGTCAATGGAGCTTGCAGAGCGAGTTGTTTGGGTCGATTGGGAAAAGGGTCCCTCTTTTTCCCACCCCTTCCCTCCGTCACTCAATCAACACGACCCCTCGGCGAGCACCAGTCGGACAGACCAGGCAAGAGGAGCCCACAAGAACCACAAGAACCACAAGGAACCACAGGAACCACAGGGTGCAGAGCGCGAGAAGTGGTTGATGCTCACGGCCCAGCCTGGCACCGCCAAATGACCCCCAATCTGTGGCATCCATCATCCTCGCTGCCCTGACCCTGCCCACGGCCTTGCTCTCACCATCCTTACCACCTGAGTCCGTTCGTGTCGTTCGTGCATACTGTACTGTCTGTCTCCTTGTACTCCGTACTGTACTGTCCTGTACTGTCCTGTCCAGTCCCGTCCTGCGCTGCTCTCACCCATTGCCAATTGCCCATTACCCAAGCACCACAGCACTACGCACCAGCGAGTCCCAGCTCCATTTTCCACGCCGGGACCACCAAGACCAAGACAAGACAAGACCCAGGCCCAACCCGCTCTTACTAACTTCCTTTCTGCCTTTGTTAGATGGCTGCCGGCGTATCGTCTCCTGCCCGCCCAAGCCCAGTCTACCTTCACGATCCATTGTCCCACACAAACAATAATTCCTCCAACTTCAACTCTGCCTCATCTCAACATTCCGTTTCCACCTCATCTTCCCCCAGCCTGACCTCCCTCACCTGCCCTCCTCCAGCGGCACCACCACCACCATCATCTCAACACCTGCTGCTGTCCTCCTCTCCTGGCAGCAGAGACAGCCCGCGTCGCCCTCCTCCAAGCATCAGTCCTAACAGCACCGCCGCCAGCACCCCAACGACGCTTGCGTCCTCTCCTCTTTCTTCCTCATCGCCCTTCGAGCCTGCTGCAGACTCCGTCCTGCTCACGCGACCCCGACCCAAGCAGTCCCCCGTCAACTCTGCCCGAGGAGACCCGAGGCTTCAGAAACAGGGCGGCTTTTTCGCATTCGCTGCCTCTGCCATTGACCGCACACAGAGTGCAATTGCAACCATTTCTGACCAGACGGTCCGCCACCAGCGATCCCTCAGTCGCCTCTCCATCACCGGCGACTCTGCTGCACACTACCTCAGCGCCGAGCCCTCGCCCGACAGGATCTCGAGATACCGCCCCGCCTCCACCCTGTCGTTGTCGGCGTCGCCCTCGAACCTGCTGAGCACTCAGCCAGGGTCCAAGTCTCCCAGCGCCCAGTCCTTTACGGCTCAGGACCCCCCTTACTCGCGACCCTATTCCGAGACTGATCCTTCTCATCCCCCGCCAATTCTCCTCCCGAGAATTGACAACAAGATGCATCAAACATCTTCGAGACTATTGCGCATGACGGATGACGACAGGCCGTTCACCAAGGTGAGTTCCCTTTGATCTGATTCGTTTTTACCCGCCGGCACATGCGGCCTTGCAATAGTCCAGTAATCAAGCAACGGCACTGCTGCTGTACCGCGCGGGGCAGCGGCACTCCCCGGCCTGCGCTATTCGGCGACTGACAGTAGCCTGCAGGACTTCAAGGATCTCTTTGCAACCCTGATCGTCAGTCTGCTGCCGCTTTCAGCCCATCGCGTGCGCTTGACCAAGGTCGAGCACACCTTCCTGTCGGAAGATGCCATCAACAACCTCGGCTCCCTCAAGTTCTCCCAATCCAACCGCATGCCCGACCCCAAAGACCCTTCCCGAATCGTAACCACGACGACAACCACCACATTCTCCATGGCCAAGGACATGGCTCGCTCGATATGCCAGCGATTCCTGGAGGCACGTTTCATCGAGTCCGCAGATGGCAAGTACCAGCAGGTGTACACTATGAAGGGCTCCGTCTGGCAATTGACACCCAAGGGCATCTCTATATTGGATCGCTTCTGCTCGAGGAACGGCATCCAGCAGAAGCAGGTGGCAGAGCTCATTGGCAACTCATTACCCCAGCTCGTCATCCTGGAAAGAGAAGGACAGACGGACAAGCTGACTACTGACCGTGGCACGATCGAGGTCCTTTTCCGGAGGTTTGTTGGCATCGGAGGCTTCAACATCAAGAGCAACGTGAACTCTGCCGATTCGGATTCGCTCAGCGATTACCGTGATGGCCTGACTGGTGTCAAGATGGCCGCGGAGCGGAAAGTAGGAGGCAAGACTTTTAAGAACACTTTTACCGGCAAGGCGGCTACCGACTGGCTGATGGACTGTTCGACCACCGTGGATCGACGGGAGACTATCGAGGTCGCCGGCTTGTTTGTCGAGTACGAGCTCATGGAGGCTATCCAGCAGGACCGGGCTTACATGTCGCAATATCCTGGCAGCCACCTGTTCCAGCCCACAAAGCACGCCATCTACCAGCTCACGCCAAGAGCTATCGACCTGGTCAATGGCACGCTGTCCCGAGGGAGGAGCTCCGAGGGCGAGGTCGCATCCAGTGGCATCAGGCCGGGCATCGCTCGCGACTCCAACACCCAGAGACTGGATAAGATCCTGGGCGATCCTGCTCTTCGATTGCTGTTTCGCGAGAACCTGCGGGAGACCCACTGTGAAGAGAACCTGTCATTCTACATTGATGTGGACGAGTTCGTGCGCAGCTGCAAGCAGGCCATCCGCCAAGCCCAGAAGAACCCTACGTCGACCTCCATGGATGGCATCAAGGAGATCATGGCCCAGGCCTACGGGATTTACAACGCGTTCCTCGCCCCCGGCTCGCCTTGTGAGCTCAACATCGACCATCAGCTGCGCAGCAACCTTGCCACCCGCATGACTAAGGCAGTGGGACAGGATGTTGCCATGATTGATACCCTGCACGAGGTGACGGCCCTGTTTGAGGATGCGCAGAACGCTGTGTTCAAGCTCATGGCCAGTGTAAGTTGAAGCACCTCGATACTTTCTGGACGTGCGACACCGATACTAATAGCGACGATAGGATTCCGTGCCGAAATTCCTGCGGAGCCCCAAATACGAGCACGTCTTGAAGAACTACGACTTTGACACAATAACGCACCCCGTCGGCAAAGATTCAGCAGCGCCCGGCCGGTTGCTCGAGCGAAGCCAAAGCCGATCCAACCGCAAGTGAGAGACGACATGGTTCGAGCACTCATTTTCTCTCCGAAGATCAGCCCGACCCTTTTCGCAACTGCAGCGATGCGGCGTAAGCAGAAGACTTGCCCACTCGCCTTCGGTCCGCACCCTACTGTCTTGCCAACAGCACCCTGGACACTGCTTGGCTCCGATTTTGGCACCTTGGCCCGCCCGCCAGGTCTGACAGCATGGCGTCGGTCCGCCGGCTATCGGAGTGACTTGCCACGGACTACAGGCTAGATCGGCTTGTGACCAGTGTCGCATATTTATTCTGTCTCTCGTTCCTGGTGTGGACCTTGAACGTTGAGATGATCGACAAGACTTGTCGCACGATTGGGCAGCCTCGGTACTAGCGAACCCCTCGGTCACATTCGCCTAGTTGATCTCCGCTTTTATTACCCACCGCCTCGCACACAACACGGGTACCTCTATACCGCGGTGGCCCGCCCATGTCCGCGGAAGCTCTGGGTCAGGAAGCTTTTCATTTTTCTCTTGCGTGGTCAGGAAGTCAAGGCGTTGGGCTCTTTTTACGGCATAGACATGGCCCGGCAGTCCATATGAAGAAAGGGGGACGATGGGTGCTCGGTCTTCACGACGGGATCTTCCTCCAGGAGCATCCAAGACTAGCGTTTGGACGGAGCGCATTGGGTGACCGATCCGCAGTGTCATCATTGCATTTTGTTTTTATTTCTCGGTGGAATGGAGGATGGGGAAAGGGGAAAGGAAAGGACTGTGCGAGTCCCTGGTTCAGAGTGGTCAAGGACTCTAATTCTCTATGGGATAGGATCCATGATGTAAAAGGCAATGGGCCGGTACAATGAAGCCCGTCGAACAGCTCGGTGTCTGGGGGTGGAACCGTATAACCGAGGGCTTTTTACCACATGATCTGGCCCTGCGCTATTTCGGCACAAGAGTGTACATAACGACGGACCATTATACGATACCAGTCGATGAGATCGACCGCTTCTTAGATGATCATTAACACACTACGAAAGAAAAAAAAAAGGATCACCGCTTTGGGCCTTGCCCACGCTTTGAACCGGTGTTTCTTGTTGAATGGTGGTGAAATTGATGGAATGCGTGATGGATTTGGATGATCTGTCGCGTGCTGCGCTGCACCCGGGCAGGGTGGCTGGAATGTGCCGCACCGGAAGCATTTCTCGACACCAAACAACACGGCTTGTTTGTTGTTCATACCAGCAATGTGTTATTAGACAACCTCTGTCGGCGAGTTTAATTGCGGATTCATGTGACGGGACCGTTGACGGGTGTTGAACTGGCCGTCCGCTTTCATATAAGACTGCCTTGCCTCTCTTTGGTCTTGTTGATGTCGCACCTTTATCCTCCGCATCGCAATTGTTTGGTCTCGACCGCAGTCTCACTCGTTCGACTTGACGTTTCTTCACACACTCTCTTTATAATATTCTACGTTGCCACTTCTTGGTTGGAAAGGAGAAACCTCCCCTGGGCCTCTCATCTCAGCCGTCGACTCTAATTCTCTCGTTCCCGCCACCGACATCACCATCAGACACGGGGAAAAGAAAGAAACCCAAGACATACACACAATCAAGAGACAAGATGCAGATGCGAAACATCCTCACACTCCTGGCGGCCTCGGGGGCTGCCGCCCAGTCCACGGGCCTCCCGCCTTCGATGATGCCCGGGAACGGCACCATCACCACCACCATCGTGGTGCCGTCGTTCGTGACCTACTGCCCGAAGCCCACCGTCATCACCTGGAAGGACCAGTGCTACACGGCCAAGAAGCCCGGGCCCATCACCATCACCAACTGCCCGTGCACCATCACCACGGTAAGCCTTACTATACTACCCCAGCCCCACTCCCTTTTTATATTTTATACGTACACACCACACACACAACACACACACACATGCTGACAACACGACCCAAAACCAGACCATGCCCAAGCCAACCTGGGGCCCGCCCCCGCCAGGCCCGCCCCCGCCAGGCCCGCCCGCGCCTCCCCCCAAGGGCCCGGAGTACCCTCCCCCGCCCCCTCCCCCCCAGGGAGACAAGTCCCCGCCCCCTCCCCCTCCTCCCCCGGCGCAGCCCCCCGTCGCGCCCGTGGCCCCCATCCCGGCCCCGCCGCCGCCGGCCACCGGCACCTGGGCGCCCGCCCCGGCCAAGCCCACCTACGTCACGGCCGGCGCCGGCGGCCTCACGGTCCCTGGCCTCCTGGCTGGTGTCATTGCCGGCGTGGCTGCCCTGTGAGGGCGGCAGTGACGGAGATGGAGAGGAGCCCTGCGGGTGGCAGTGGTGTTTGGGATAGGTACATGGACATCCTGATGGGAGATGAGGGGGGAGGGGGAGATCTGTTGTGGTGTGGTTGGTCGGAGAACACGCATGTTTTTTTTGGTGTTGACTTTTCCACACGAGGGCATTCTCATCTATTATCGTGTGTTTTTTCTTCAGGACGGTTTTCGGGACGTTTCTGTAAATCGGTTGTTCCCCAAACCCCATCACCATAGGGTTTCGGGTCACTCTTTCCATTTTTTTAATATTTTGTATGCGGGTGTGGAAAGAGAGACGGCGAGATGAGTTGGTTGGTCGCTGAGGAGGGAGGCATAGGGCCTCTCTCTCCTTGCTCTGCTGGCTTACTTGTTGCTGTTCTTTCCATGCCTGCTACTCACGAAGTCGACGTTAATATGGCTTTCGGGATGAAAAGATGAAAACATGCGATCGGGGGTGAAGGGGGACTAGACTGGACGCGTGAGTGGTAACAAATGAAGCATGAACAAACATCATTATTTTTATTATGTCTATGACCTGTGTGTGACTGCTCCTCGTCTCCTGTTCCATAAGTATATTTGTGTTCTGGAAAGCAGGATAGATAACCGACCAATGTCACCACTTCATTTCGAATGGCCCCTACTTTGAACATTCTGTGACAGACACTATGCACGGTGAAAGCAAGCGGAAAAGGTATGTATTGAGACGGGGTATCCTAAACGATAGCAACACACCGGAACTCCAAGAGGAACACGAAAAGAAAATAAAAAACGCCGCAAGCGGCACCAGACAAAACTAGGAAACGCCTAAACTAAAGATAAAGGCCACATGCCAGAGGACGTCCCATCACCGAGGCAACGTGATATGAGCCCGAGACAAGAACCCCCCCGGGGTACACAGGCCGGCCGCATTCGGATGACGAGAGAGCGCGTTGGGCGTCGCGGATCCGACACGCCGATCCCCTATCCCCTCCTCCCCTGGCACGCAGCCAGCCAGCCAGACAGCCAGACAATCATCGCCCGCCACTAGCGCCGGGGAGCCCGATGTCGAACAAGACCGCAAACGGCCAGGCAGCAGACAGAGCCGCTCATTCCAGCTCCGCGGTGAAGGGCGACCCCAGCCGCGCCCCCATTCCAGAGCGGCCGCCGGGCCTCAGCACCGTGGGGTGGGAGCGGTGCACGTCGCCGCCGCCCTCCCGCGCCCTCCCGACCCCCTCGGACCCGGCGAGCTCGGCAAAGACCAGCGGGGCGCGCGGCGGCGGCGGCGCTGCCTCGTCGTCGCCGTCGACGCCCGAGTACGGGTTCAGGGACGGGTACTCCGGGTGGTCGTCGCCGCCGCTGGTGCTGGTAGCCGCCGTGGGCGTGGACACGGACGACGAGGAGAAGGAGCCTGAGCTGCGGTACGACGAGGTGCGGGCGCCGCTGCTGCTGGTCGTCGTGGGGCCGGGCAGGGGCTGTGTCACGTGGGCGGAGGCAGAGCCCACGGATGTGTTGCGGACGCGGAGGGGTTGGGGGTAGAGCGCGCTGTCGTGGTGATGGGCCGGCGGCGGGGCGGGCTGGGAGTAGCGGTGCGGCGGCTGGGGGGGCCTCATGGACGGGGGCAGCGGGTGGGCTGCCGGGTGGCCCCAGGCTGCTTGGTGGTGGTAGTGGTGTTGTTGCTGGTGGTGGTGGTCGAGCCGGTTGGGTGAGATGGTGGACTGCGAGTGCGATCTGTAATGTGCCATGGGCGGTGGTGCGTTGTGACGCTGCTGCTCGCCCGTGTTTGGGCTGGGATATCGCATGGACGGCGGGAGCCCCGGCTGGTATCCCTGGACGAACGGGCTCCCGAGCTGCGGGGGCGGGCTTCTCCTCGTGTTGGGGTGGGCAGGCTGCTGGTCCTGCGACGCCTGTGACGGCGACGACGACGACAAGGGTGGGAACAGGGCTGGCTTCTCGTCGGCGGCGCTCAGGGGCGACTGGGCGGTGCGGATGCTGTCCCTGTCTGCAGAGGATGCTCCCGCTGCGTGCCTCGCCTTCTCGACGAGGTGGTCGACGAGGGTGGCGTGGGACTTCTTGAGGTTCTTCTTGACGAAGCCGGTCATGAGGATGTTGCAGCGGAGGTCGACGTCCTCGCGGATGTACAGGCCCGTGGCGGGGGCGCCGATGCCCAGCTCGACGGGCCCGGCCGGCTCGCCCGGCAGCGTGCCGCCCAGCGTCCACTTCTCCCTGATGTCGACGTTGAGCGGGGCGCGGCAGTGCGTCTGGATGCCGTCGGGCAGGTCGTGGAAGGCGCACGTGTACGAGATGTCGCCGCTGGCGAGCCCGCCCGGGAGGTACGTGATGCGGTCCGTCAGCGAGTACCACACGCACCCGAGCTCGTCCTCGGGGCTGCCGGGCGGCGGCTTGATGGGGTGCCTCTCCTTGACCAGCGGGTTCAGGTCGATCATCTCCAGGTGGTTGTGTAGGAAGCTGATGACCGTCTCGCGCGGTATGTCCGCCGGCAGCGGGCTTATTGTGGTGAAGACTGATCTCTTAGACATGGCGGCCTTGGTCGCAAGTGTGTGTGCTGTCGACGAGACTCAACCACGACAAGTCGAGAAAACTATTTGCCGCCCCGTTTTCTTTCTTTTTGAGAGTTGGACGTGCACCCAACGTCTGCGCCGCCGACAACCAACGGGATGAGGCTTAGCGGCAGGCGTCAACCAATCCTCCCTCACAAGAGCACACCAACACCGTCGACTGATCTCGTTGCGTCAGGACGAGTACGGGCGCGGCAGGGATGAGCACATGAGCTGAGTGGTGAGGACGAGTGAGTGAGACAGTATGGCAGTGAGTGACGAGTAGATAAACGCCCTTCTCAAGTCTGCAGGTCAGAGCATGAGACGGCCAAAAGCTTGTTGCTTTCGCTTTCGGCACACATGAGCAAACCTGCCCATATCTACTCTAGACGCCATCCGGATGTTGGAGAAGCCAGGTGCCGCGCCACAAAGTGAGTTGCAGGCTGTGCAAGCCCAAAATAGTGCTGCTGACGCTGCGGTTGGGCTAAGGCGGGAAGGATGCGTGCGCTCGGCAGCAGGGGCGATCGAGACCAGACGCTCGTCAGCCGCAGCAAACGGGAGACTGCGCTTCCGGGCAGCGTTGGGCCGGCCCGCTGGTTTTCACATAACAACAATCTTGACAAGCTCCCTGCTTGCTATTTGAGGCACAGTCGATACTGTGTTACACGGCCTCCAAGACAGACGGACAGACAGGCGGACGGACAGATCGTGTGAAGAGTACTCCGTAATGGTATCATTTCTTCTATGGAGAAACCACCAGGCCGATACCACCATAATGCCAATTTTTGCAATCCCTCAGAAACGCCGTTTCATGCCCGCTATTTTCCTGTTCCATCCTGTCTGGCCACTACTATTCGCACCCCCCTTGTCCCGAGCCGCCGTCCCCTGCAGTATCATCGTGAACGACCAGAGAGAGCCTCATGTCTTCCAGTCCAGCCGGTTCCAGGTCGAGAGTCTGCTCCGAGCACCGGGATTGGGATCCGGCGTCCTCGTGCTGAGCGTTACCGGTCGACGACGTCCCATCCTCTATCGTAGGAGGCATCGGACCCGCCCCATGGTCTGAGCCCGTGCTGTCTTGACCGCCCCTGCGCCCCAGCTAGATAGACGCCGGGGCCGCGTCCTTCCTCCAGCCCTTGGACCTCATGTTGTTCTCGATCTGCTTCCAGATGCTCTCGACCACCTCCCTGTCGCGGAACCGGCTGGCCTCGGCGCCCGGCAGCGCCGGGTCCCTCCACTTGTCGACCGTGAAGCACTGCACGCGGTGGCCCCAGTTGCGGACGTTATCCGGGACCTGGTCGCCGCGCCAGCCCACGTGGACGCCCAGGACGTGCCGGAAGAGCTCGTTGGGGTTGCTCCACTTGTAGTTCTTGAACTGCCACGGCTGGCCCGTCGTGAAGACGGCCACGACGCGGTTCCAGTACTCGGGCTTGAAGTTCTCGGGGCCCTCGACCAGGATGAAGCGCATCGCCCGGTTCGGGTCGATCTCGCGCATCACCCGCATGATGTTGAGCATCGTCGCCGTCGACCCGCTCTCCGGCAGCTCGTACCGCCCCGTCTCGAGGAACGCTCGCACGTTGGAGATGCGCAGCAGCGACGACGCCGACGGCGACAGCAGGATGATGGGGTCCGGCCGCCGCGCCGGCTTCTGGTTGAGCGGCAGCCCCGCGCCGCCCAGCCCTCCCCCTGCCGCCGCCGCCGCCGACGACGACGGGTGGTGCGGCTGCTGCCCCGGCTGCCCGGGCTTCCTGGACGTGAACAGCGTGGCGTGCTTGCGGACGCCCGAGAAGTCGATGGGCTTGACGCCCCTCAGGACCGTGTTGCGGTCGCCCATCTTGCGCTCCCCGGCGTAGATCTGCTGCAGCCGCGGGTCGAGCGACCCCTTGCCCGCCCGCGCGCCCGCGGCGGCGGCCTGCTGGGAGGAGCTCTTGAGGGCCTCGGCGCCGGCGGCCGGCGCGGCGTCCCCGGGGAGCTTCTTGATGTACTCGCTCTCGCCGCCGCCCTCGAGCCAGGTGATGAGGTCGACGCGCTCGACAAAGGCGAGCTTGTGCACGGTGGCGCCCAGGCCCTTGGCGGCCAGCTCCTCGTTCAGCGCCGTGGCGGCCGCATTGTAGTCGGGGATGGCGAGGTCGCGGTTCACCCAGGCAAAGTAGATGGACCGCAGGTCGATGGTGGTCGACTCGTCGGGCTGGAACCGCGTCGGCGAGTCGATGGGGAGGGCGGTCGAGTCTGCGAACCGGATCTCGGTGGCTTGTGAAAGAGGCGCCTCGTCGGCCGAGTCGCCAGCAACGGGGGTGACGGGCTGGCCTGTCGCGATTGCCTGTCGGAACAGGAGGAGGGGGTCCTGCGCTGCAGCAGCCATGATCGCAGTCGGGGTCGGGGTCGGGGTCGGGTCGTCTCGAGGACTGTCGCCCGAGGGTGTCCGATTGGGTCGCGAGACGAGTGCGAAGCTGAAGATGGTTGGGTTAAGTGCTGCGACAAAAGATAGAGCTTGGAAAGTAAGGCTGATGCTGGAAGCAGGCTGTAGCTGTCTGGGCACGGCCAGCCCCTGTCGCTCGGCAGGGGAGCTAACCGGCAGGGGCTGGCCCTCTTACCCCATGTGGGACAAGCAAGGGGTCTTGCACTTTGAAGCGCTCCAGCAGTGGCTGCCAAGTCAATCAGACTTTCAAAAACCATGCAAATTCAATCCAGCTTTTCTCTTCAGTTTTGCTTTTTGAAATAGCGGTATCTTGTTACTTGATGCTCACTCTTCCCGCCTCTCGCCCTGCCTGAAGAGATCCATCATCTCAATCGTGTCTAACCGCTTGAGCACGCAAAAACCATGCAAACCGAGGCAGAGGACGGTATAAAACAGAAGTCAATTACGCTGAGAGTTCGATGCGGCGGACTGTCAAAAAGTTTTGTGGCTCACAGCTCACAATTGGTTCAAGCTGGTCTTGTCCAAATACCGTAATAAAGCTTGTGAAAATCTCGTTTGGAAACAGTCTAAGGTCTAAGCTGTACGAGGCAGTGACTGATACAGGTAGGTCAGTCAAGGCCAGGAGGAGGGATTCATTTGTGCCATTGCCTATCAGTATTCTATCAGGCGCTTTCTATCACGTCCTCGGCAATCCCTGACCCGTCATCCGTGGATGCCCGCCTTCCTCTCCCATGAAACTGTACGGTGAGTAGTTAGCTCGAGCTGGACTTTCAAGGAATAGCTGTTCATTTCTTTTCGCATCACTCACCACGCAGACCCCTCTTCCTTTGAGCTTATGCATCGCGTTGGCCGGGCACATGGGGCTGGAGGGAAGGTGTTCCGGCGTATCAAATTCGAAATACGAGATGCCCTTCACGGGATCTCTTCTGACCAACGCCTTCGGCTCGTCCCACCACTCCCTCCTCTGGGAATCGACCCCTTTGCGATAGGAGAACACCCTTGGTGCTGCCCGGGCAGAGCTTGTGGAGGATGATAACGAGGTGTCCGTAGGAATAGGGTGTTTGATTTCGAAGAAGAAGTTCCTCGTACGGCCATCTGCGGACTGCTTGAGGGGGGGCGTCGTGACTGGCACAGCTTCCTGATCATGTCCTGCGTAAGCAAGGTACCATTAAAGGGGTGCTTTCAATTAGCATACATTGGCTGGATATGAACTCATGGCACCGCTTGCTGATATCCCGACCGGGTCAGTTTACATCTGCAAATTGTGGCAAGGAGAGTCTTGCCTTTGAACCTTTTGTGGTCACCGGCGCCGCCAGCTGGATTGCTCAGGGATTTTTGTGCAGGCCACATGTGATTGCTGTCGCTTGAGGAGCTTGTATGCCTGGAAGGAGGTGACCCGTTGTCCTTGTGACCGTGAGGACCTTTGCTGAACCACTTGCGCAAGCCTTTGAGCGGACCATGGGCTTCATTCTCTTCCTTCTCCTCAGGTGGTGTAGAAGGCTGTGCAGGCTCGGTTGGATTTTGGGTGAAGTAACTGGGGTCTGGCTCAACTGTTTCGACCTTGTTCGGCTCTGGAACGGCTTCCGTAGAGTCCTCGATCTGTTTTCTTCAGATATTCTGAAACTGTCACGAACCACCTCATGGGAAAGCACTCACCTTTGACCGTTGGAATAGATGCCAGGAAGACTTTGACTTCGTTGCCTTTGCTTTAGTCTGGAGAGCCGACAAGAACCCAGACTCTGTGCTTGATCTTTTGCGGGCGTGTTTAGATTGCTCGTTCAGAGATCCCATGCCGAAGAGGCTCATCTGTCGGTCAACTGGTCGCTGCAAGGCTTGTACCTGGGCAGCCTCCGAAAGCCATGGGCTTTGTGGAAGAGTCCTGACAGGGCTGAAAGATCCCCCAGAGCTCTGCTTCCGCGGGTTTCCTTGCTGTGCGGCCAGGACAGGGTGTGCTTTCACCATTTTCGGGGAGCCTTCCTGCAGCTCGTGCTCGTGGGATGGTGCCGGGCCTCCACTTGCCCTTGGTGCCCATCTGAACAGTTTGCCCCCTGAGCCAGCCGAGGCAGTGCCGTGATGCCCATGGCTATTCGAGGTGGTCCGACTGGGCGACGGCCTCTCCGCCCAATATCCTTCCGGAAACCATACCCATTCAAATCCCTCTCTTGGGGGTCGCGGCGGATCTTGGCTGGCTGAGTTCCTGGAACTGCGCGCCGAGTCTCGGATCCCTGGATTCCAGAAGCCCTGCGGCGATAACGAAGGGGAATTTCGGCTCATTTAGCATAAGAGATCTAGTAGGTGAGCCTTGCCTAGAGACAACTGGGCTTCGAAATATTGTCCGCGGTCTCGAACGGTCTGATCTCTGTAAATGCTGTGCTCCCTGTGTTCGCGTGTCCGTGGATCAGGACTGAGTATCAATCGTGAGCAAGAGTAGTGGGTTGGTTGAAGATACTATCGCAAGCTGCTGACCCAAGTGTTGAGAAGCACTTTCAAACAAGGGGTGTGGCAGAGTCTTGAAGATGTAAAGGCATGGTAGGTGATGTAGGTAGCAGCGTAAGAAGGATTGATATGAGTGATCGAGGTCGAGGCGATGTGGAATTATGGACTGACTGTTCCGTGAACGTTTCGACTGGTACTTATGTTTCTTTCACAATCTCGATGTCCTTCCTGCATGACCAGAATATGCAGTGATCGGAAGGTACGTCCAGCAGAGGAAGGAAGCAACCAACTTGACATCCAAATTAAGAATCCAAACCGGAAACGGGACGTGGCCAGCTTACCAGAGTCGATGTTGGCAGGTGCAGAGTCACCCAGGGTCTCAATTCAGATGTTGTACTCTCCCAGAACAAGACCTAGGCACCCTTGGATGATATTCAACAGACGTAAACGTAATTGCTTTTTGAGTGTTACTCGCCACCACAGACCACCCCATGGTGTCTATCAATTTCATCAGTCTCTTGTTGATTCTTCTGTATCCATAAGTATGAATCCCCCTCTATCCTAATGCTACATCTGCGTAACGGTATCAATTCATTGCTGTGCCGCCGTCCAAAAATACGCCAGAGCGCCGCATTCTCTCCCAGAAAAGCCCGCCCTCTCTAAATGCCAAACACCGACTTCATCCGCTCGTATGTAAAGAAGCTGACCGCGCTCATGGGCACGATCTTTACGTATCCGATCGTGAGACCGACAAAGAAACCCCGGAACCCCGCCTCCCTCATGATCAGCGCCGCCGTCTCGGCGATGCGCAGCCGGTGGCCGTCGCCCACCGCCCCTGCGACCTGCATCCGCCGCCGCACGACCTCGAGCGGGTACGAGCACGTCTGGGAGACCAGGCCCGCCACGCCTCCCGCCAGCAGCTCCGCCCAGGACTGCAGCAGTGGCGGTTTCCCCTGGGGCGCGTTCTTGCGCTGCGGCAGCGTCGTCCATTTCGCTATCGTCTTGTGGCGCAACAGGTCCCCCATTGTGTCGTGGGTGAGGAAGGACACGCCGGCGTAGGGGAGCATCCCGAGGATCGTGGGGGAGAAGCCCCGGTAGAAATTGATCATCCCCCTCTGTGGTACAACGGCAGCCTCCACATTCGAGACCGCCGCGGTGGCTAGCCTGACGGCAGCCGGACCCTGTACTCCGGTAGCAGATGACGCACCCGGGTGCTCGTTGTAGATTTGTCTGCAAATAGAAGATAATGACGACCGGTCGTGTTGTTTCGTCTCGAATGCCAGCCGCACCCGTATCACCTCCAGTGGGTAGGTAAAGAACACCGAGGTTGCCCCAGCAAGAGAGCCGCTCAGGAGCCGCCTCAGGGGGGTCTCGTGGTCTTTGGATGGTATAACGGCCGATCGTATTTGCTCATAGGCAAGGAACTTGATCCCGGCGTAGGGGAACACTCTGAGCAGTGTGGCAGAGTGACCCCTGAACAGTCCTGCGGTGCCCTGCTGGCGGTATATCTCGGTCATAGCAGCGCCTGTACCAACCCAGGACCCCGAGTACTTGACGAACTGTGGATTCCTTGCCTGGAAGAGGATTTTGACCCGGTCAAGCGGCGCGACGACGGTTTTTGCCTGTTGGCCAGCAGATTAGCGACGAGTCCAGTAATTGTCCAAGACAGAACCGCATAGGAATCCATTGTGCTCACAGCGCATCCTGCAAGACCGCCCGCCGTGCCCGAGCGCCACAGGTAGTCCAGGCTCTGCTTGTCGACCTTCCTCGGTACTACCGCCTCGTCGTCTGTGGGGCACACGGCGACATTTCCCTCGCGCAGGCGACGGCCTTGCCGGTCGCCATCCTTTCGTGATTCGTGTTGTGGAAGCGCCGGCATTGAGGCATCGTCCCTCAGGGCCGATGACATTCCCCCCACCAGCGGTCAGCGCCCCGTGTGTGTGTGTGTATATGTGTCTATGTGAAGTACTTCGGTAGTGGGGTTGTCAGAGTGAGGGTATGATCATTTCGACCGTTTCGGCGAACAACTTGCGAGTCCGGGGTAAGCCGAGGAGTAAGTAAGGGGGAGCCGGGGGAGGAAAAGGGCGAATTCTTTATGTAGCGTGCCCAGGGAGGTAAGATGCGGGCGGATCGTGAACAAGGCACGGGTCCAGATCGCGGCTATGTTCGCACGGGCAAGATGGGCAGGGGACGTCATGAACCCCAAAGTCCGGAGACGCCTCTAACCAGGGGTCATTTTGTAAGCGGCCCGCCCTTCTATGGCCGCCTGCGCAGAACCACACAACGGCCTAACGGGCGGCTTACAGTGGTACGGTCATTGCTAACCGAGAATAGCCGACTCGGAATCGACTTCTGGGTTCAGGTCGGGAAACCGACATGCGAGCAAACACAATTGCATGTAAGCTAAGCCTGCACTCACTGATAACCACCCTGTCTCGTCTACTGCGCGTACTCACCATGAGAAATTTAGGTTTACCTCGGGCTTCCAGACCTCGGCATACTTAAGTACTGATCAACTAAACCAGTCACACTACAACAGCCCGGCCACAAAATACTTAAAGCGACTTGAATTAGGTTGAATCACAAAAGGGATCGTCAATTAGGAGAAAACAGGGGCAATGTCGCAGTCCATCCTGTTCCGCAATGAGCAACCCAGCGTCGTTCTCATCGATGGGCCTAAGTCTATCGAGGATGCTCAATACTTAAATCCTGTGGGAGAACCTCAGACCGGCAAGGCACGGAGGCTCATATCCTCTAGACCGCCCGATGAGCCCTTCGAAACTCCAGAACCCAAGCAGCCCGCACTCAACCCGAGTATGGGAGCTGCTTTGGCAGAGTTGACAGCTGCTGCAGCCATTGAGGATGCTCTGAAGGCGCTGCACGACTTGCATTCTGGGCCTTGGTGCTTGCCTCGGATTCACGTTGCGCAGGGGGAGGACGCGAAGGGACATGGGCGGGGCAACAAGAGGAAGGCAGACGAGGTCGATCTCCCAGAGAATATCCCCAGTGAACCAGTGATCCCCGAAGAGGCAGTCTATCTCCGTGGTACAATCTCCTCGGAAAGGTCTCGCTTCCTGGAGGAAGCCCCCAAGTTCGACCTCATAGTCATGGACCCTCCATGGCCGAGCCGCTCAGTGCGGCGCAAGAGAGGCAGCTACCATACGGCCAATGATCTCGACGATATGCGCGAGACTCTATCCCTGATACCCATTGCGTCTCATCTGGCGACTGGAGGTCTCCTCGCCGTCTGGATTACCAACAAAGCACGCGTACTAGAGCTACTGACATCGCCTAGAGGCCTGTTCGCCGAGTGGGGGCTGGAACTCGTGGCCGAATGGACGTGGCTCAAGGTCACCACAAGCGGCGAGCCCATTCTGAGTGTGGACTCTGCGTGGCGGAAGCCATGGGAGAGGCTTCTGATTGCGAAGAGGCGAGGGGTTGAGTTGGCAAAACTGCCTAGCCAGGGCAAAGTAATTGTCTCTGTACCTGACCTTCATTCTCGCAAACCTAATTTGCGCCCCTTGTTCGAGGATGCTATGCCCCCTGGGTACAAAGCCCTCGAGGTCTTCGCCAGGAACCTCACGGCGGGTTGGTGGAGCTGGGGAGACGAGGTCCTCAAGTTCCAGCAGCCAGAACACTGGGTAGAGCCGTAGCCTTTCCGACATTGCCTTGAACCGTCTGCTCGACCACATGATGCCGTATTTTTTAGATCGTGACGCCCGTATCGTACAACTTTATACACGCCTCCCACCCAGCTTTTCCTCGTGTAATCATGACGATGGGCGTCGCACGTCCTCTCCCGCAGCAGACACCGCCGTCTCAACCTCCCCAGCCTCATCGGCATCCTCGATCTCGACCCACGACGCCCCCAGCGGCTGGCCGGGCTTCCACTTCCTCCTCCCGGCAAGCAGCCTCTCGGCCGCCGTCCTCAGCCTGTCCCTCTCGGAGCTCTGCTCCAGCTGGTCCCGGAGGAGCGGCGTGCCCCTCGCGCTGCGGAACTGCTCGTCCATGCCCTTCTGGTGCTGGTCCTCGACGGCGTCGAACATGAGCTTGTCCCAGGGCGACAGGTCCTCGGGCGCCTCGGGCCACACGAACGGCCGCGCCAGCTCCGCGATCATCATCTTCTGCGAGCGGGGGCGGTACCACTTGCCGCCCGGGCTGTTGCTGTACCGCTTCTGCCGCGGCCGCATCTGGTTCACAAAGGACCGCACCGACCGCACCTCCACCTTGTACACGTTCCACAGGTAGTCCCGGAAGTCGAGCTTGTTGAAGGACAGCGGCACGTTGAAGGTCGCCATCGTCGGCGGCTGGCCTTCCTTGGGGCGGATAAAGGCCACGACATGGTTCGGTCTGTTGGGCGAGGGGGTCCAGGGCCCCCCATGAGGTCAGCTGAGTCTGGGCCAATTGGGGCCTGGAAGTGTTGCGTCGAGCGATGTGGCCATGTGGGTGTCGCAGACATGATGCGAGTATTGCAGCTTGGATTCAACTCACAGGAAGACTGCCTTCTCACCGAGGCGGAAGGGCGCCTGCCGGGCGAGGGTCTCCACAGCCCCTACAGCTGCTGTTGTACTCATTTTGGGCAGTGATCGAGTTGACGGTGGCAGGTCTGGCTGGTCAACCGCAGTTCGCGACGGCCGGATCGCTCACGCGCATTGTCGAACCAGGTCAACTCTCCAGACTTTTTGGCCCGGCGCACGGACCTCCCGAGCTCTCTCCCGATGGAGCCGCTGTCGGCTCCGAGGTGGGAAGAAGTGGGACTCGCGGCTGCAGCCGGCCACTTATACGGAGTACAGGATCAATCCACAATCAACTTCGAGTCTGGAATCATATGGAGGCGCTCTTTTGTCATGAACATTTTACTTTTTTGGTTTTTAGAAGGTTGCCCGAAGAAGACACCACAGCTGATCCTATCCTAGCTACAGGGCAACAGGTACGGCAAAGGCCCTATCCCATACAGTAAAACCCACACAAATTGGGTCCAGTGCGACTGTTGCCTCAATTGTCGCCATTACAAAAATGGTGACAAGCCACTCGGGGTTGTATTTAGACATCAAGTCCATCAACCACGGTGCCCTTGGTCCAGGTCCAGCACATCTTACGAGCAACCTCGTTCGCGGACTCCTCGGAGACCATCACGCTGACAAGATACAGAGCTGCATCTATGCCAGCGCTGACTCCCCCAGACGTGATCACACGGAGACCGCCGAGGCGCATGGCAGCACGGCGGGTGATCGACTCGCGACGCGAGTTGGAGCTCTTGAGGGACATGCTTCCCTTTCTGCATGGGCTGAGTCAGCTCTCGAGTCCTGGGTGTGCGATGCAATGTAACCATAGGAGAAAAAACTACTCACCGAGCATTGGAGGGTCGTCGGCCGTCAGGCCTGGTGCTGCGGACGTAGGGGTTCTCGTCCTCGTCGCCAAGCTCGAAGCGCAGATTGTTGACGACGTAGCGTGCGTCCTCCACAACATCGGTGCGCTCACCAAGGTCTCTCTGGACGGCAATACTGCAGATGTTCTCGAAGGTGACGATGTAGTCGGGGTGGGTAGTGGCGGAAAGACCGGCTAGGATACCCTGCTGGGCGAGCATAAGAGATCCGGTGCAGACAGAGAAGAGAGTGCGCCTGTGGAGTGAACCCATTGTCAGCCAAACTTGTTCCCCGGGTTCAAATGGCATTGTACTAGAAAATATGCTTACTCTCGCTCGGGGCTCTGCTTCTGGATCTCGCTGTAGGCGGAGATGAGGCCGAGGGGCTCGGCCTTGGCCTTGATGATGGGCTCTGCATTTCCGCCCAGGATGACGACGATGTCGAAGTCCTCAATGCGCTCATGGGCCTCCTTGAACGAGATCTGGGAGCCGACAATGACACCGGCAGCAGAGAGAGCCTTAGGCTCATCTGAAGCGACGGTGATCTCGAAGGCTCTGGTGGCTGGAGAAAGAATCACGGTTCAGCGGACGGTCCGGAGGGCAGAACATGAGGACGGAGGGAGATGAAGGGGCGGGGCTGAGTGCTTACAAGGGTCGTTAATATCGTGGAGGGCAGTGGTCAGGACCTCAAGGGGGCCAGCAAAGTCCAGGAAGTCGAACTTGTCGTGCAGGGCGAAGAGCACATCAACTGGCTCGTTGTCGGCCACTGCACTCGTCTTGGAGGCCATCTTGGGCAACTTAGGTGATGAGGAGTGGAATGGAATGGAATGGAAGAGGGCTGGTCACGTTTCCTGTGTCAGGAGCAGGCGAGTCGATGGGGCAGCAAGAGACAATCCAAGGATGGTCTCGATGTGGTCAATTGGGATGTTGACGGTGATGCAGAGCAACGTAGGTGATGATGGTGGTTGTCCTGGCGACAAGAAAGACGATTCAATGGTGATGAAGATCAGAGATCTGAACAGAGGAAGATGGTTTAATTCGTGCGTGAGCTGGATGAAGTGTCCGTTTTGCGTCCCGACCCCTCCTTCTTGAACGTGACCAGCTCTCCCTCTTAAAGGAGTGCGCCTCCAGGCCAAACCTGCAGCTGGACCAAGCAATGCTGGGCATACCAGGCAATGAGGGCATGGCCTGACCAGTGGAGGGGCACGTAGCAGGCCATCTTAGTGGTACGATCTCCTGGGACCCCTACCTAGCACCCGTGCGCCGACGTGCCTCCCGTGGGGCTGCCTCAAGCTGCAAATGCGGGAGTGGGACCTGTAGAGTGTGGGGTAAGTTGGGCCTAGCAAGGATCACCGGTTAGTGCTTGTGAGGCCTGCCCAGTTGCTCGTCTGTCAAGTCAGCCAGCCAGCCAGCCAGCCAGTGGCCTGCCTGGTGGGCTAGGGTGGGTCTGACGGCCATTCCCTGGCCTGCTGCTCCCGACGTCGTCTGACTTCTCAGTTCGAGACTATCGCACCACCCATCGGCCGCCGTCAGAGGGCAGCCCACTGCGCAGTCATACCGCGCTTAAGCACTCCTTTCGCCGGCATATAGTCGCGGGTGGATATCCTCGGAGCTCGACACGTCCTTGATGAGCAAGGTGTCGTGGGGAGCCTCGCGCTTAGATCCACTCGTCAACTCACTCACCCGTCAGAACACCCGACACGAGGTCACTTGACGAGGCTCGGCCTGCCTCGCTGTCGACGACTTGTGCGAGCATGATCGTGTCACCGTGACGGCACTGCAAACATGTCTTCCGCGTAGGCAACCCCTGCTTCATATTTTTGTCCTTTTCATTTCATGTCGCCGCTTTGTGTCCCCCATTTGTGTGTGTCTTGATCCTCACGACACGCCCAGTCTCTCGTTGCATCGCACTTTGCCAAGTGGACTCTGCAGGGACTTTCCTTCAACAGTGCCATGCCATGCCCGCGGACATCATCCTCCCATGACAGCCCAGGAGGCGTCACAAAGACAGCACAGCTCCCAGGAACAATTCTGCAGCTGCGCAGGCCTTTGCAATCACAATCTACGGAGGCTTCCTTGTTTGCAACACAGGCAAAGCATCTGAAATCTAGGATTGCCTCGCTTATGACGTGTGTTTGAGCCGGCCGCGCCGGCCCGTTGACTCGACGATTCACGGACCTGCAGCAGCGAGAGGAGTGCACTTTTGATTTTCACTCTCGCTATCATGAGGCTCCGTCTGACTTCAACGCAGGTCAACCAAAGACGTCACCAAGGCCATCAATGCATTCCTGCCTAACTCTGGACTACCTCTTCCGGACGAGCTGACCCAGGTAATTGACGCCTACCTCGAGAAGCACGATGAGGAAGGGGCCTCAGAGCGCCTTCAAGAGGACCTCCTGTCAATATGGGAGAAGACGGTCAAGGAGAACGTGGGCTGTTACGCCCCTTGGCTTGCCATTCTGCGCAGGCTCTTGCCCGTGCTGAGAAATCCCACCTATCTTGTTCAGTGGTGGGATCAAATGACAGAGCCGATCCTCGACCACATGGCGCAAGACAAAAATCTAGCAAAAGAAGCCTGGGCAAACACTTTGGCAGTGCTGACCCACGATGACGGGTCCGACGCTGCAGAAGGGCATGGGGCAAATCAAATTGCCATCAAGCTGCTGAAGACCTGGATGGAAAGCTTCCAGTTCTCTACCAGCGATAGCAACTCTTCGGGTAGTCTCAAGGCGACTCTGATACGCAATGGCTTGCTCAGCTATGGCAAGAAGCGGCCCAAGGTTCGTGTTCATCAACGTCAATCACCCCCAGAATGCTGTGTTCTATTAGCGTGACGCTGCGATACGAGTCTCGTTCTTGTGACGCCATCCACATCTAGTGGTCGCACACGTCGGACACCCATGGTTCCGCTGGAATTTTGGGAATGAGAACGTCTAGAATCATTGGCTGATACAGTGTAGGGCATACTGACTGCGTTGAATTCCTTCGTTGTCCAGAAAGAGTACCGTGCCCGGGCTTTGACTCTTCTCTGTGAGTTCGTCCAGAGCGAGCCGCCTCATCTCCACGTCGTCCAGGAGACGCCGCTCTTCGACAACATCCTCAAGTGCCTGCAGAGTGATACTTCGACCACCGTTGTCACGCTGGCTATCACTGCGTTGACGATGCTGCTACCAAATGTGCCCAGTTCTCTGGTGCCTTACCTCCCAAATTTGTTCAACATATACGCTCGTCTGTTGTTCTGGGATAGAGAGAGGTCTTTGGCAGCCGACAACACAGATATAGATGGCGATGATGAGAAGAATCAGGCCACTGACTGGGAAGTCTGCGTCTTTGCGCCAGATGCCGACAACATGTCAATTCCGAATCTTCTGAGCTACTTCACGATTCTTTATGGCCTGTACCCCCTCAATTTTGTGGATTACATCAGGAAGCCGCAACGGTACTTGCGACATGCGAACATGCCCAATGCCGACGACATCGAGGTTCAGCCTTCGGAAATCCGCCAGAAATCGGAACGGTTCAGACAGTACCACATACTACATCCGAACTTCTATAACTTGACTCTGGAGACCGAGAAGACCGACTTCAGCAGATGGATCAAGAGTGAGTCGTCGGAAGTGGTTACGGAATGTACTGCACTGTGCCTGGCAACAGAGCTTGGGGTTGGTGCCGAAATGGGCCCTGCCCAAGAGCTAGGGCTGTCCGAGATGGACGACAACACTAGAAGTGGAACCGACCAGCCCTTCCTTACCGGCCAGGCAATTTTGGCAAGGACATCGTCTCGGGATTTGGCGAGCGCCTGGAGGAACTCAGGCGCAGGTTCAGTTTCAGAAGACCCTCGAACGGCCGCGGGTACGATACGGCGTGCATCCCACTCCAGCCACGCTCCTTCTCTCAGGGAGTCATTTCAGACTCGCGCCCGCGATGGGCCAGGCGACAGCCCTACATTACCACCATCGCTTGGCCTGTCAGCATCACATACCAATCTGCAGGACATGATCACTTCGAACAAAGCCATCAAGACCGGTTTGCACCAATCCTTAGCTAATGACAGTGTGCCGTCACTTGCCTTGAGTCACCAAGAGTCGATGCTTGATAAAACATCGAGCAAGCTGTCTGCACCGGCGGCCACACTCGCTGCTTCCCCATCAACCGACAGTGACAGTGAGATCCAACGGCTTCACAAGCAGATGCTTCTCTTGAGCAACGACCTCAGCTTTGAACGTTACATGAAACAACAGCACATGATCCATATCGGAGAATTGAAGAGGCGACAACTCAAGGAAGCTGCGACTGAGGCGGAAACACAGAACCTCATCATGATCAATCGAAATCTGCGGAACCGAATCGAAGAGGCAAAGCGGTCGGAGTTGCGGGCGAAGAAGGAGTCTGAGAATCGGCGCAACATAGCCAAGAAATGGGAGACCGACCTGTCCGCGAAGCTGAAGCTTCTGAGAGAGGAACAAAAGAAATGGATCAGCGAGGGGGCTGGTCTCAAACGAGAGTTGGAAGCCAAGACTGAGGAGTGCGAGAAGTTGACGAGAATGGTCTGTGAGTACGAAACGACGGATCTCAACTCCAAACAAAACCAACAGGCGATCAATGACCACGTCGAGGAGATTACGCGTCTCAAAGCAGAAGTAAGTCGACTCATCGAGGTGGAACAGACGTACCAGGCCAAGGAAAAAGAGGCATCAGAGCGCCTGGCAGAGGCCGCCAATTCGATCGGCCGAGCTGAGGTTTTAAACATGAAGCTGGAGGCGCGGGATGCTGAGGTCGTAGAGGTGAGGAAATTGTACGAGACACAGATTTCCGACCTCAACACACAACTTCAAGATGCTCTGAAGCACGGTGGCAGGCGACCCAGGCGAGAAGAGGACCATGACAAGGCTATCGAGAGTGCACTGGCAGCAAGCCGAGCCAAAATGGCAGACTTGCAGAGAAGACATAACATATTGGTGAACAAGTGCACCGAGCTGCAGTCCTCGTTACTCGACAAGGCATCCAGCAGCTCCAGGTCGCCGGCCTTCTCCAGCACGCCCAGGATGGGCATCCCTTCAGACTCGTCAGACGCAGAGCTTTCGGCGATTGTGCAAAGCGGAGACCCACCGAGCCCGGTGAGAAGGAAAACGCGTCGCGGACGAGGCTTCTCGGACCCTGAACTCTTTGTCGAGGGGGCAAAGTACAACGTGACGCCACCCCTGGAGACGATCACGGGCTCGTCGTTTGGCACAGTACTGCAACGCCCTTCGACACCATCTGGAAGCACGGATACGCTCCAAGGAGGGGACAGAAGCCCTACGGACAGGTTTCACGGGAGAGGCAAGTTATTTTGATCTCAAGGGGATGACAGCCGGTCAAGTCCAGAGTGCTAACCTCTTGGCTCTACTACAGGTGGCGTACAAAACGCGGGTCGAAAGGACAAGCGCGACAAGAAATCATCCGGGATCAGAGGGATTCGAGGTTTCGTCTGAGTCGCTGGGCCATATCAATGCTGTTGCCCCTCATCTAGACAGAAATCAGTGGCCGCCTCTTCGAACAACGAGGACTTTCTTCACTTGGCTAGAGGCAATCGATGTCAGGCAAGATGATTGGCTCGGCATTGACTGAGGAGATAGAATTGACTGCACTTGGCAGCAGAGCTGACGGGTTGGGACGAAAGCAAGGAATATTACCCTGAGATTCGTCAAGTAAATCGCAACTTCTGGCGCTAGTAAGAAGACCTACATGCACTTGAGCGGTGTTTGGAGTTTCTGGACCAGGACTTCCGCGCGTCGAGCCTTGGCGGCCCGAGAGAGATACCACTCATCAACTGCCGTGAGACGGCGCCCTAGAACTCAAAAAGACAAAACGAATTGAGAGGGTGCTGCCAGAATCGCTCCGGCACAGCCGACGACGACTCTGACTGTCCCGAGGGCGCCGAGTGTTGAAGCGTGCACGTCGCGTGCTAACAAAGTACGGAGTACATGGTCCTGCTTAATATTAGTAAAAGAGGTGGTTGGTGAAGGATGTTGATTCCTTGGAAGGAGCGGTTGGAGGAGCAACTCCTGGTAGTTCCAGGTGCAAAGTACAAGGGTGCCTAGGTGGTTCGCGACCACAATCCCGCACAACCCCAACCCCACCACCTACCTGCCTCTCCCGCCTTCCCACCTCGCCCTCTTCGGTCCCAATCCCAGAGGCAAGGAAGGAAAGGTACTCCTGTTTGGGAGTACATTACCGCCGCCCCCCAGGTAGACCGATCTATTAAGCGATCACTCCTCCTTGCGTCTCTCACCCCTGCCACCACCGCATATCATTTCTCAGCCAACACTCGAGCCGGGTACCTGGGCAGCGAATGCACTCTGGTCCTAGACGCCTCGCTCCTTCTATTCTCGGCTGCGTCGATCTGACCCTACGTAAACTGCGCACCACCTACCCTATGTCCGCCGTCTCACTCAGCCTCTCCAGTCCACCTTGCACTTACAGCCCGATTCGCCCCAACTCGCCTCGCTCAAGTCACGTCGATCGTGAACAAATCCCTTCAGTGCTCCTCATCTCCGGCCTCAGCGATCAAAGCGCCATACGAATAGACCGGTTCCAAAGCCGGAACAACATTAATAACGACCTGATCGCGACTACCGACCCGGGCAACTTGGCTGGTGCTGACGGTTCCAGCGACGGCAGTCCAAGCTGCCGGCACCTTGGAATTGCGAGGGCCTTTGGGTCCAACCAAGGCTACCCACCACCCTCAGAGGGGTTGTGTCACAGACGGTCACCCTGAAGCCCGCAACTCAGAGGCGCCCTGCGCGAACCGTCGAGCGAGTGCGAACCGTTGCCTATGATCCGCCCCAAGACTGCAAGGCAATGCGAAATACCCAAGCGAAAACCCTACCTTGATCGAGCCAGCCCCGTCCGACATTGATCGTTGCGAACATCGTGCGCATATAGCCCTCGGTCCTGGATAAGCTCGACTCGGCACCGTCGAGTTTGAACTCGCACCTGCGATGGCTCCCTTGTCGTTATCCACCCGCCTTCCGGCTACGCTTGTGGACTACCTCTCGCCGCGACAAGTACAGCCTCACCTGGAAAATACACAACCCCGGACAGCCCCCGAAATCTCAGGGCGCCTACACTCCCTGCCCCACTTTGCCTCGCGAACGGTCAAGACCGCATTAGATGCGCCGAGTCGCGTACTTCTTGCCCAGCGAGACACCACAACATCCACGATCCCCGGCGCGTACCCTGGCATAAACGATGGCCCTGACGCAGGCGAGGTTGTCGGCATCACACTTGGCTCCGTGGGCGGCTTTCTGCTGCTCCTGTGGCTTGTATATACCTGCCTGTCCATTGGCAACCGCCGAGACACGTTAAGTTCCTACGGAACCGCGAGTGTTGTCACGCGTAAGTCGCGCCGGCGTCACTCGAAACACCACCACCGGTCGCCGTCACGTCGCCGCGAGACAGTCGAGATCCGGACTAGCCGCACGGCCCCTTCGGTTGTCGACCCGCCGCCCGAGAGGATCGTGATGGAGGAGACGATACGCAGGTCCACCGGCCCGCCGCCCGGGCCCCCACCACCCCCCATGGCCGCGCCGCCACCGCCGAGGTTTGTGCCGGTCGATGATGACGACGAGGACGAGGTGGTCGTGATTGAGGAGCACAGCCCGCCGCCGAGGAGGCACAAGACCAAGAGCCACCGGAGGCGGAGCTCGAGCGCGAGGAGGGAGAGTGGGTTCCGCGAGGTCGACCCGGATCGGTTCGGCGGGGGCGACGCGCCTCTGAGGGACGTGAGGAGGTCGAGCAGACACGGGAGGTAGTTAAATGCCGACTGCTGGCGTGACTGGAATGACAAAGGGCAGGGTAATAATAATCTAGGAATGGGGGAACAGGCATAGCTAGGGAAGATATGGAATGGTCTTATTGAATGTTTACGACATCATGGGTTAGGACCGGGTTTACGAAACAACAGGATAGGGCCGATGATACCAAACGGGAATTGCGGTGGGCGCGGGAAGAAACCTGTAGGAGCACGAGTACGAGCACGAGCAAGATGGAGAGGCAAGGGCAAGGATGCTCATCACAGGACTTGGGAGCATTAAAGCGAGGATCGCGTTGCTTGTGACGAGGTACGCTCACGATGGCATTTCCCCGGGCGGCATCTCACTGACCACGACCCTTGCCGTCTGCATATGGAGCGATTGAGGCTTGACGTTGGCGGTGCAGTATCACCGTCGCTTTTGTTTGATTTGATTTTCTTTGCGCTTTGAAATACCACTTCATGTTGTTTTTTCCTGGTAGACAGAAATATACTGCACATTTTGGCATGGAGATGTCTCAGATCACACGCACTAGCCCGCGGAGCGGTCCGGGCATGTCACATTTCATGCTGCGAGATCTCAGATGACCCAAAACCTTGAGCATGAGAGTAGTCCAACATTATTCAGCGAAGTCGCAAACAACGTTGGACCAACTCGTCACCAGCTTGGAGCGGGTGAACAAAAGTTGTGCTTTGGGGGGTTCTAGTTATGGGAGACGAGACGAGATGCCAGGTAGCCGACTCACAATAATTCACAGGTGCTTCAGTACCTGTAACCTATGTGGGCAATAAAGTGTCAACAGTTGAGCCGACGGTCGCAAAGAATGTCCCACCTTGAACTACGGTGTGATGCACATTTTATGTGGCTCGGGGACTAGCTCCAACCAAACCCACACGGCACAGGGAGCTTTCTCTCGGGCTGCTGCAGATCATCCCAAATCCCCCTGCTGGGGCGGCGGGCTGGGCGGTTGATAAGCCCCGAGAGAGAGAGGCCCTGCGCTTTTCACATGCCTGGGGGGATCTGAGCCTGAGGCCCCCGGTGTCAGTCAGTGGGCCATGACATCACACCAGTCAGAGCAACAGCCGCTGCGTGTCACAGGGCATAATAGCCATAGCACCACCACACATCCGGCGCACTCGTTGCGGCCTGCGATGCGCTTTGAGGCCTTTTCCCATGTGATGCCGTAAAGGTAATCTAGGCTATCGGCCTCTGTAACTCAGAGCTGGGAATTGGCTTCCCCTTTCCTACCCAATTCGAACACTGGCCATCGAGTCGTGGACCGATCTATCTACAAACACGCCCTCCCTACCTTACCCTCCAAAGACTTGCCTAAGTATTCACTCTCTCCGTATTCGAGGATTATCGCAAAAGCGTGTAATGATAATGGAGAATCCCGGTAAGGAAAACCTCACCTTCCTTCCCAATTCCCTTGCGCAGCGCAGCGAAACCCAGTCTATTGTGCTCGTATATATGGTCCCGATTATATCTGTCTAACACGAGGGCGATATCCGCGCCCGGGTCGGCAACCAGAACAGGAGATAAGACAAGTGGTGCGCTCCCTGTGCCAGGGCACGCCCGACGAGCAGCGCCGGACCATCGACCGCTACTTCACCCCCGACGCCGAGTTTGTCCACCCGTTCTGCATCGCGCCGCGCTTCAGCGAGGGCGACCTGCGCCTGCCCGGGCTGCGCCGCCTCAGCTCCCGCGACGCGCTCAGGGGCATCTTCCAGTGGTACCGGATGTTGTCGCCCAAGATTGTTATTGATATTGACACGGCATGTAAGTGGGCATCCATCCCTCATGAGACCCAAAAGAGAAAAAAACCCTTTTGTATTTCCAGAACGTCCAGCCCGCGGTTCTGATAAGCATGCATGTAGTACACGACAAGGACAGGGACAAGATGTACCTCGACATGCGCCAGGTCTTCTCCATCTGGTTCGCGCCGCGGTACCACGCCCGCGTGCGCCTGGTCACCGTGCTCGACCTGGTCCCCTGCGACCTCGGCGCGCACCGCAACGGCGAGCCGCAGGTGATCGGGGACAAGGAAAAGGCCGACGGCGGCGAGAAGGGGTCCCCTACCACCGCCGTCGTCAGGGCTGGCGGCGGCGGCGGCCGCCAGCGGCAGAAGGTCTGGAGGATATCGCGCCAGGAGGACCTCTACCAGGTCAACGAGTTCCTCAAGTTCACGGGCCCGTACTGGTTCTGCTTCTGGAGGCCCCTCTGGTTCGTCTTCCAGCTGCTCGCCACCGCCATCTGCGTGTTCCTGGGCCTGTTTGTCCCGCTGTCGCCCTGGGCGTTCCAGCAGGACCCGGCGCCCGGCGGCGTCGAGGCTAGGGTCGAGCAGGTGGAACGGTATCGCGACGATGAAGACGACAGGGACGGGGTGAAGAAGCTGGATACGAAGGCGGAGGGGAAGAATGCTGCTGCTGCCTCCTCCCCGACCTCCTCGTCGTCGCATAATGGCGGGCACCACTCGGCGTCCGGGGAGGACAGCAGCGGTGGTGGTGGCGGGGCCAAGGGCGGCGGCAACAATACCAACGGGAACGGTCAACAGGGGCGCAACAGTAAGACACAGTCTACCCCTCCGCGCAAGTCCTGGAAGGGGGGCAAGAAGGACGGCCGTTAGAGGGCGGCGCCCAGCCCGGGCCCCCACCACCTGCGCGGCTCGCGGTCTGAGCTGGCGCTCACGCCTCTGCGCTGCGCGGCTTGCGTTGTCGACGACGAGGGCTGACCGTGCGCCGTTTCGTCACAGTTCGCCCGCTGCCGCTGCCGCTGTACTCGATGGTCTGGAATTGAGAACTTTGTGAGGCCCCCTGCGGAATGGACGGGATGGAAGGGGGAACACCGGTCATTATCGAGCACGACAAGAGAACAGACAAGAGGGACTTGAAAAGAGAGATCAATGCTTTCTCGTTGCTGTCTATGCCCTTACTTCTTGTACCTATTTAAGCCAGAATCAGTGCGTCCTCCCAACAGTACTGCGGATGCCGCGGGCCTTAAGCTTCCTTACCGGGTATCAATATAAAATCGTCGTGAAAAAAAAAAAGACATTTCCATCGGCTTTGTTGATATATATACTACATCCCACCAAGAAACGAAACCCCAAATGCCTGCCTGCCTCTTATCTTCTTATAAGCGAGTTCGCATCCCACAGCAGAACCCTCTCGTCCCACCCAGCAGAAGCAACCCACCCGCCCGCCCCAAACAGGCACCAGTCGACCCCCGTCGCAAACTCGGTATGCCGGTTCATCAGCCCGAGCTGCACGCCGGGGCGCACGGGCGCGCCGCCCAGGTCCCCGGCCGGGCCCGGGTCAGGGGGCGGCGCCATGGTGGACCCGTCGGTCCACAGGCGCACCGACATGTCGTAGCTGGCGCTGACGAGGACGTCGCTGGCGTGCGGGGACCACGCGAGCCGCCGCACCGCGTAGCCGTGGCCCTCGAGGACGGCGACGGGCCCCGCGTAGGGGGCGCGCAGGTCGAAGGTGCGGATCGCGCGGTCCACCCCGGCCGTCGCGATCACCCCCGCCGGGCTGTACTTGTTCCAGTCGTGCGTGAGGACCTCGGCGGGCTGGCCCGGCCCGGGCGGGGCCATCCCCGGGGGCGCAGCCGCGATCCGTGCCGCGGGCGTCTGGTGCACTGGGATGTCGTGGACGAGGTGGTATTTTGCCGAGGGCGGGGTGCGCAGGTCGAAGACGCGGAGGCGCGAGTCCGAGGACACGGCGGAGATGAGGGCCGGGTTGTGCGGGGAGAAGGAGACGCTGTAGGTGCAGCTGCCTATGGGGAGGGTCTTGAGGGACTGTGGGCGGGTTGGGGACCACTGTCGGCGCATGGCGTGTCAGCTGGGCTTGCGTGTGAGGAGGGGGGTAAAAAGAGATGGCACGGGGCTGCTGGGAGAAGGGCCTGGGGACTGACGATCTTGACGGTCCCGTCCCATGAGCTCGAGACGAAGGTGTCTTTGGTCGTCTGGTTCCAGAACACCGAGAATGTCTCCCTCTTGTGCTCATGGTAGTTCATTACTGGGTACGTGTCGACGCCGAGGTCGAACAGCTTGATGGAGCCATCACCGCAGGCGGCGAGCAGCTGGTTCTCGTTGATTTCGGACCATGCCAGGTCGTAGAGTGCGTCGTTGGTGTCGAAGCTGAGGCCTCGTCAGTATTTGCCCATACCAAATGGTGAAAGGCACGCACGTCTTCTCCACCTGGATGCCAGCAGCCGTCAGACCGAGGGCAAACAGCCGTCCATTGCCCACGATGCCAAAGTTGGCAGCCGAGGCCACGGCCACTCGGTTGTCGTAGTAGGGAGAGTATTTGACGGCGTATGGATTGAAGCCCCTTGTACGGAACTCAAGCATAGCAGCCATGTTGGGTGAAAAGTGTCGTGCCGGCCATGCGACAGGCTTGGTGGCTTGCGGAGGAACAATTTGTTCTCACATGGGCGACCAACTACCTGAGAAGCAGGGTGATGTCAAGCAATTGCTGCGTGCCTCGGCTGTCCCACGCTACTTTGCCGATCTCGGCCCGGCACATGTAGGAAAGGGAGATCTATCAACAGGCAGTACACCGTTGAATATATTCAAGTCATTGAAGTCTTGTATAGAAAAAAGACTTATAATGAGATTTTTGTGGTTATTATGTTGTAACTAAATCTTACAAAATTACAAACATGGCGATTAACCAGCGTCTAGCCCAGCAACCCTATTTGGTTAACTTACACCATGAACCCCTGCAAAGCGCCCAGCGTTCGGCACGTGCCGTCGTGGTGACTTCGCGAATCAATCAACTCAGGCTGTTCACGTCTCACCACGTCCACACGCCCTTCGTGCGACAACCCAGCAACCGCCGGCATATTCTGATGCTTGAGGGCAAAGCAACTGCCACTCCAGAACCCCAGCCCGGGTCAATCACACCACCATCCAGCTGCAGGCTTACGCCAACTCGCTGCTCCACAATGAACCATGGAGTCGTTCATCAAAAGAAAGCGGAAGGCTACCCCTGCGGATGACCAGACGAACAGCCCCCTTGGCCAACCGGAAGTAGCAGACGACGAGCCCACAGAGGTGAAGCTTGCTATTCTCTCATCTCTCCACCACAATTTCTCGCAGGAGGCTCTCCTCGACATTCTGCTCGAGCATGATGGCTCTGTCGCTGCAGCCTCTGAGTCACTCTCTCTGCCAGGCAACAGCACATCTTCCATCGCGTCGTCATCAGCATCGAATAGAGCTACGAGTTCAGTAGTATCACAGACATCTCTGAGGAACTTCGCCGCGCCTCGCACTTCAGATGGAGCCCCAGCGCCCAAGAAGACGAGGCTCTTGTCCCGGAAAGGCGCCACACTGCATCTCTTTGATCCTGATGATATAGCAGAGCACACGCCTTGTTCTATAATCCACAATTTTCTCCCTACAGACCTCGCCCATGGTCTCCTGGTAGAAATGCTTGAAGAGTCCAAGACCTTTGAGAAAATAACATTCAAGCTTTTCGACAATGTCGTCTCAAGCCCACATACTTCCTCGTTCTATGTTGACAGTCATGACGAGATGCGCAAACAAAAGATAGAGGTAGGCTCGTCCTCTATACATCAATCCATCCATCCCACGGTATGCGCTGACCCCAGCTCATCCTAGTATCTCTACAACGGCGCGCGTCTCACCGACGTACGCAAGATCACGCCGTACCTAGACAAAGTCAAGCCCCTAGTCCAGCAGGCCGTCAACTCGGAAATCCAGAAAAGGATCACGACCCGCTGCCCGGGGGCCGTCAAGCTCAAGCACCAGTCCCCACGCCCCTGGACCCCAAACGCAGCATTCGTAAACTGCTACAACGGCCCCGGCGAGTCGGTAGGCTGGCACTCGGACCAGCTGACCTACCTGGGGCCCCGCGCCGTGATCGGGTCGCTCTCGCTCGGGGTGGCGCGGGAGTTCCGCGTGCGGCGGGTCGTCCCCCAAGGGGATGAAGGAGACGACAAGAGCAACAGCGCCAAGGCAGTCGACGCAGGCGACGCAGGGGGCCAGGTCGCGATCCACCTCCCGCACAACTCGCTGCTGGTGATGCACGCCGAGATGCAGGAGGAGTGGAAGCACAGCATCGCGCCGGCGCAGGCCATCGACCCGCACCCCGTCGCGGGCAACAGGCGCATCAACGTCACGTACCGCGACTACAAGGCCAGCCTGCACCCCAGCCTGACGCCCAGGTGCAGGTGCGGGGTGCCGACCGTGTTGCGCGTGGTGCAGAAGAGGAGGGAGAACTGGGGCAGGTACTTCTGGATGTGCCACGCCGGGAACGTGCCGGGCAAGGACGGGTGCACGTTCTTCCAGTGGGCTGAGTTTGACGATGATGGGGATCCTGTGTGGCGCGGTAGGGGGGCTGCTGGCCCTGGAGGTCCGACTGAGCAGGCGGCCAGCTAAAGTTCTTAGCCCTGCTGCGGATGTTTCCAGATGCTCATGAATTGCGTTCACTCTCAGTGTGTCCAGTGTGCGGAGATGCTACCGTCGACGTACCGTCCATATAAGTCTCATCCATTTATCAGTAAACGAGTCTGGCGCCGAACTTTTATAAGCATGCCATCTATCTGTTTAGAATATATGACGGCAAGGGACCAAAGCCCAAGTGTTGTAGATGCAAGTCAACGAAACGACAAGGTGTGCCGTGGCCTGCTAAAGAGACACCAACAAGCATATCATTCAATAAACAACTATGCAAGTGTCAATACCCTAGGGTAGGCTTACAAACTTCCCAATACTCCAAAACTCCAAAACAAATAACAGCAGCCAGCCCAACAGACCACCTACCTACCTCCTCATCCCAAGAAGCCCAGTCATGCCCACCAATTCCCGAACCCCCACCGACCAGACCCCTTCCTCCCCTTCGTACCAGCCTTGGGCGGTATCCCCCTCTTCGCAGCAAGGCTCTGCGGCTCCTCACCACCACCACCAAAGCTCATATTCGTCCTGTCCGCCAGGCTGAGCCCCGAGCACCGCCGGATCTTGGCCCAGATCCTCGAGGCACTCTGGTCCGCGTCGTCGTACTCGCCGCCCTCACGGTGCCGCCGCCCACTCCCTCGGCGACCGCCCCGGTAATTCTCGTCAGCAGCAGCAGAGGTTGGCACCAAAGGTGCAGGCCGCGTCGGCATCGGCAGCCGGCCACGCCTCGACGGGACGCTCGGGTAGTGCTGCTGCGCCGGCGGAGGGCCCAGGTACGTCGTCTTGCGCGGCGTGGGCCTCCTGGTGAGCTTCGTGTGCAGGAGCTCGTCGGCGGCGTCCACGCCCTAGTGGGCCGCGACGATGCCCAGGAGGCGGTGGTTGCTGGGCGGCGCCGGCGCCGGCGGCGGGGGCGACCACGGCGACGCGGCGTTGTGCCTGTTCACGGCTGCCGTGTAGGCGGTGCGGATCCTGGTCTGTGTCCTCGTGACCCCGGTGCTGTTTGCATCGTCGTCATCATCGTTGATCTTGCTTATTCCGGGCGTGAAGGCCGAGTGCTGGTAGATGAGGCTGACCGTCAGGTACTCGCACTGCGCGCTGCCCAGCTGGTCTTCTAGGTCCTCGATTAGGTCGTCTGAGTTGGACCGGATGTGGCCTCGGATTCGGGAGCAATTTGCCAGGTTCAGCTCGACGTTCACGAGGACCAGTATTGTTGACCCAGGAGCGAGAGTAGTTGGCGCGGAAAAGTTCTCGATTACCTCCAGTACGGCGCTGTTGGCAGTGGGCTCAACGTCGACCTTGATCTCACAAAGGCTACCGTAGCCTTTCGTCGCCGTAATCTCAACGGCGGCCCAGAAGTTGTGATTCCCATGGTCCACAACTCGAGTATCAGGGGTGACCCTCACATCAGGCATGACAAGAGAATAAGCGGCTGGCTCGCCAACCGATGGTTGAGAAGAGAACGGGTCATCTTGGTGGCCAGAAGGTAGAGTTTGCGAAGTTCTTGGTCTCTGCATGATATCGCCCATGAGACCAGGAAAAGGACGGTACGGTGGTGATACATTTTGGCGAGGGCTGAGAAAGCTGAATTGATCGCGAAACCTAACGGCAGATCTTGCGAGGCCTTTCCCCCTGAGCTTTGGTAGCCCGCGCGAAGAGCAGGAACCAATCGAGTGCATGTCCTCTGTGTCGACATTGTAGTATTGGTTTGATGGCAGCCTCTGCCCTTTGCGGATGAGCTGGTGGTCAATCGTCCCGTGCTCTACCACTCTGTCAACAAGTGTGTTTCACGACAGGACTGAAGGGACCAACCTTTTCGCAGATATGCCTCGCGACTAAGAGGCACCGGGCTCTCGTCGACGTCGCCTAGATCAGAAAATATGTGGCTGTTCCTGCTGCCCCGGACCTTGGGCAGCGTCAGCTGCCGCTCGTCCTCGATGGAACCAGGGACGCTGCCGCGACTCTCGGTTGTGGCCTGGCTGCATCTCCGGCAGGGACGATCATCGTCATCATCCCCGAAAGTGCTGCCCGACCGCTTGACGATGCGGAGCGGCAGGACATGCTTCATTTCTGGCGACGTGCCGGGTTTTTCGGCAACGTGGAACTTCAGTTGAGCCGGCTCTGGCTCGTGGGTTTCCATGCTGGTGCGGGTGCTTGGATCCCCGATCCGTCCTCGGTTCCGCTGCGTGGCGCTTCACCTGAAGGCTGAGCTTCGCCCAGATCCTGCAATTCAAGATCTGGCAAGGAGTCAGCGCGGGCGGGGACAGGTACTGGTCTGCGAAAACGTGGTAAGGCTCGCGGTCGGACTGCTGGCTTTCGAACCGGCGTATACAGCTTGAGGAAGACGTAAGCGACAAGGACCATGAGTGCGCCTGGAACAATCATATATAAAAGCACTTTTCTTCTGAATTCACGCATAGTCGAAAGGGATGCAGCTGTCTGGATAGCAGGCAAGATAATCCAATGGGGTCGTAAAAGGGATCATTGGGTATCAATTCTAAGCATTGCTGATCTTTTTACCAAGGACTAGGAACTCCCGGAGTGCTGTGTTGACTCCTCTATGCTCCGTGATGCGCGCTTTCCTCATGACTGCTAAATCACACGCTCAAGGAATGACGGAAGGAACAGCCAGGGGGTCAGCCCTGGCTGATTCGCCTAGTGTCTTGTAAAGATTGTCCTTTACTGTCTCGACTTCGCTCTCTTCCATGCTGAGAAATCGAATCTATTGACATGTCAGTTAGAGTCATAATCCTGTCGTCTTTGGGCTGATGGTGTCTCACCGTATCATCGCTGCTGGCATCGCCATACAGCACAGGCTCGGACAGCGATGCCTGAATGTTCCTCTGGACCCTCTCCTCCCACACGCCCTCCCAGTTCCACTCGCCCGGCTTTCTGACCGCAGGCTCGCCTTCGGGGATGGCGGTGTTGCCACGGTACGCAGCCCAGGCATGCCACGCACCAGGGTTCCCGGCCGCCTCGAGCGGGATCGAGTCCAGTACTGCCTGGTCGTCAAAGGTGCTGCGGATGTAACTCAGCACCTCGCCGGTCGAGATGTCCCTCTTGTGCACGTCTGCAAATGACAGCTTGCTCCCAGTGCTGCCACCCGTGCCGCTGTTGCCAGCGGCACCCCGGCCTGCGCTCGGCGGCGTGGCGGCGATCTTTGAGTTGGGCGTGCTCGAGTTGCTGTCACCGCCAGTGGCAAGGACCCTAGAGGACCTGGGGGTTTCCGGAGGGTACTGGCCAGGAGCGGGCCTGCCCCTGCTCCCCCGGCCGAACCAGTCCGGGAACCCGTGTCGCAGGCTGAAGCCGCCGGGCGGTAGGCGCTCCTCGTCCGTTGCACTGACAGTGCCGCCCTCCTGGATGTCGGTCGTGTACATGTAGGTAGTGAGTGGCGTGATTAAGGGGTGGAACATGTCGGTCGAAAAGGTCACGAGCGGCGGCAGTGCCGGGTATGTGTCTGGGAACGAGATGTAGAATCGGAGGATCGCAGTAGCATAGGGCCCTAGGTGAGATTGTCAATATGCTTTTGATTTATCCAGGCATTTCGTATACTGCCTGCATACCTTTGCGCACGAACATGACACCCGACCAGAGCGAAGGGTCACCTGGCGTCAAACTGACGAACACGCCCTGAGGGCAGGACTGCTTGAGTCCAGCACTGCAGGCAAAGAGGGCCAGGTCAGCGATCACATGTCCAAGTGCTTGGGGGTGGTATGTGGGCGTGCACGCACAACTCTGAGAGGAGGTTTTGCCGTCGTAAAGACGGCAACATTGCCATCTTCAGCGACGCCATTTTGGTCGTATGTCATATCATGTTGAGCATGAATATGATGTGTGCTGAAACGAATGGGCCGTACAGTATGCCGTCAGTCAGGCGGTTATGTAAGATGTACCAAAGTCGTTTTTGTTGGTAGGGTTATTCGGGGTTAGCTGTGGTCTGACCCCCCCCCCCAACCCCACCAGCCTGTGGCCTCTTTCCAGTCAACACAATGCGGCTTAGACAACGAACTCCCTCCTCTAACAAGAATAATTCGCTATCAAATAACCTCCAGGCTCCTGAAGGACAACGTCCTATGGTATAACTGCCTATAGAACAACCTCCTACGGGACAACGTCTTATAAAACAATCACATGTTGGTCAATTTCTTATGGAATGATCTCATGAGTCGACCTCCTACAAATCACCCTACAAGCCTGCGCTTCTATGGTATCTTGCTCTTCTATAGCATTCCCACCTACAACTATTATGAGATTTTCCCCCAGATAATTTCACTGGATTATAAAGGCTTACTCCACTAGGTAAATAGTGTAAAAAACTACTAGTAGTTAAATATTAAAATTAAAACTATTTAAATTTCTTTATTTTTTTAATAATTATTTTAAATTTTAATTAATACTTTATATTAATTTTAATTATATATATACTCTCTTTATATATATATATATATATATATATAATAGAATAATAGAATAATTATAATATTATATAAATCTAAAGAATGTTAGTGATACTTAGACTTAGTGGAAGTTTTTTATAATCTCCACCTACCTGCCTGTCCACGATACCTACTACAAGTAAGTATTCTAGCAAGAGTGGAGTTCGCGACCTATTTTAGTGACCCGCTGCGCGTGCAAGCGCCGTGGTGGAGATGCTTGGCGCTTGGGTCGATGCAACCTTGCGGCGGAGAGCGAAACAGCTGAAGGATGAGACCAACTTCATTCCCATGCCTGTCTGGCATCTCCGTCTTTTTGGTATGAATTTTCGTTCTTTCTCTGTATTTTGAACACTACATTTTTCAGGCACAAAAGCTCGAGGGCCATGGGTCTTTGTGCGCTGTGCGAGCAGTCCCTTTCGTCGAAGGTGTTAGTCGACGACACTCTCTTTCATCATGACTACAGGACCTTTCGCCAATCAGTTGAGAGCAAGTGCTATATATGCTCTCATGTATGGAGCAGCTTGACCGAAGAGCAGAAAGAAACTACTATGCGGCCCACCTTTGACGGAATAGACTATGATGTTAGTCTCAGGACTAGCTACGGCGAGAGACAGGGGCGTATCCTAGCAACAATCGACTTCAAGCACGGTGACGATCTGTTTGATTGTGAAGATTATAATGAAGTTGGTGGGAAGCACATGGCTGATGCCGGAAGATTCGCTATTTTAAACCCTCATAGTAAGTGGATTTTCCAGTACATACGTAAGGATAAATTACCACCATGGGCTGTTGGGTAGTAAGAAGTAAGAGGTTAGGAAGTAGGAGGTTAGGAAGTAGGGGGCTAGGAAGTAGAGGGATGAGAAGGAGGACATCAGGTGGCAGGTGGCAGGAGGTAGGAGGTTGTGACGTGGGAGATATATATATTGTGTAGTGGCTGACTTTGTCCAATAGTTTACCCGGTTAGAGAAGTGCCAGTACTAGCCGCTCGAACAAACCACCCGTCCTGCTGGTCTACAGTATCAAAGTGGATTGAAGATTGCTGCAGCAAGCATGGCAATTGTCGTGTCCCTCAGGAAGGCTCATGGTTGCCGACACGGCTGGTCGATCTTCTCAGGTACGACAAGGGACGCATCCGCGTCGTAAACTCGTCCCGACTTCCCCGGAGAAAGGGAATTTCTTATGTGGCTCTCAGCCACTGTTGGGGTCGAAAGCCCTTCTTGGTAATGAGAAATAAGAACAGGAAAAAATTCAAGAAGGGCGTACCTGTCTCGTCTCTGGCATCCAACTTTCAAGAGGCGATAGCTGTGGCTCGCCAGCTTGGTTTCCGATATATTTGGATCGACTCTTTATGCATCATCCAGGGTTCAGAGCAAGACTGGCGCCGTGAAGCGCCCACAATGAACCAGGTTTACAGGAATGCGTTCCTCACCATTGGTGCAATGGCGTCCTCAGATGCTCATGGCGGCCTTTTCAGGCGTCGCGACCCAGAAATGATGGGGAGCACGATCACGATCAACACAGAGGAAGACGGAGTGATGACGTGCTTGTTGGTTAAGTCAGACATATGGGAAAGCCACGTCAAGGAAGCACCACTCAGCCAACGGGCATGGGTTGTCCAAGAACGCATGCTGGCTCCAAGAAGCCTATACTTTTGCGAGGGCCAACTCTTCTGGGAATGCCGAGAACAACACGCGTGCGAACTACTCCCAAACGGGGTGCCGACCCAGTTCATAAGTGAGCTGAAAGATCCTACGGCGGTCGACACAGTCCCAATTAAAGCTTTTGTAAGAGCTGTTGAGCTGGCCAATGCCCATGGTACCTACGCCTACCGCGTGGCTGATGACGATATTCCCTGGGAAAACGTACAGCACGAAGACCCATACATGGTGTGGAACGACGTAGTAGAGTCGTACGCCAGATGTGCGCTCACTAACCCGAGCGACAAGCTCGTCGCTATTTCCGGAGTGGTCAAGGATTTCGCGAAGGCCATCGACGATGAGTACCTAGCTGGCCTGTGGCGACGAGATTTCATCAACGGTCTCTTATGGATGGCTACTCCAGAGTCCAGAGGCAAAGACGACTTTATACCGGCGGTCCGGTCAGAAGTGTACCGAGCGCCGTCATGGAGCTGGGCGTCTTTGGATGCCCCGACTATGAGGATGCCGCGCACGAGATACCAGTGGTATGGTGATTACGCCGAGGTCCTGGATGTTGGCATTGAGCTTGCGGCAGGGAGTAAGGATCCAACAGGGGCGCTGAGGCACGCTTGTCTACATATAAGCGGGCATCTTATCCCAGTTAGGCGCAAGCCTGTACTCCGCGAGTCTTATCGATACTTCGGCTCGTTCGTTCCTGACGTGGAGGAGTTTGAGGGCGAACGGTTCTTTTGCCTTCCATTGCGAGAAGACCTTGTGGGCAAAATACCGCACCTTATGGGACTCGTCTTGACGCCCTGGGTTGACGACGGGGAAAGGGAGATGTCTTTCTGCAGCACATGTGCTGGAAAACGCAAGTTCCAACGAGTTGGTATGTTCGAGTCCGAGAAAGGTGATCCACTCCACTATCTGTCCATGAGCAAGCCCGAAGACTGGATTGATTGGGGCGAGGAGAGCGATCATTTGTGGTATCCTGAAGACATGGACATCTGGGACTTTATTATTATTTGATAGGAGACGTCTAATCGGACGCAAAGTAAGCTCAAGACGGGAGACCACAGGGCGGCCAAAACAGACGTTATAGAGGAATTATACTAATATTACTGTAAAGTGAAGAGGCCATGAAAATAATGTGAAAGTGCAATATGAAGCCCCTGTGCTAACTTGCCTTCTGTCTTGTCAATCCATACGATATTCCTCCATGGAATATTTGCTTTCTTCCAGGAGCTTGTCCCGTGCGTACTCTAGGGTAGTAGGAGGTTACCTCGTCAGATGTTATGCTATGAGATGTTGACATACAGCAGTCTATCCCGCTGGTAGAGCTTGTCCTGTCGGAGGATACCGTGTAAGAGTTCAACTCCATTGCAGGCTCATTCTGAGGAGCTTGGGCAGTCAGCGCTGCCTGGCTGGTCCATAGATGCTGCAGAGTTGTTGACGCCTAAGCAAAGCTCACTCGAGTAAAGTAAATTCATCCAGCAGCAGGATCTCGAAATTTCACAAGGGAGGTGTTCTTGGATTGGTCATTGTGTCCTGTCTTTCTACAATAGGACTTCTCGAAAAGGACAGGACTGTCTAATCCAGGGAGATGTTTGATACTATATCACTGTCTGCGCCATGCCGGCTTCCCGGCCGCCGATGACGACCTCTCGGAAATCTCCCCATTCGAGAAATAGGAACGTCTTCCTTCAGCTCTCCATAAACAACCACGTATGAATATATCGCGCTTCTTGATCGTACCAAGACCCGCACAAGTGGGACTCAAGACCAATTTTACCCCCCATCGCTCGGCGACCCGTGGCTTGAGCAGACCCCCTGTGGCCGCAGACGCCGCACACTGGGCTGAACTCTGATCCAATCTTGGTCTGGTTAAAGCCTGCGGCCCCCTCATTTCTCAGCGAGTCTGTTCTCAATCTTTTCCGTCTCCTGAGCTCTGAGTTCCGCCATCTCGTCCGGTGTCATATTATATGTGCCGTGGGCCTGGTTCAATGGATTATCAGGTGAATTGTCGAACTGTTCACGCAATTTCTCCAGCCACGCGGTGCGTTTATTGCCCTTGATCTTGAAGAAACCTTCATCTGACAGTTTCTCCATTTGCGCGTTCACCCAGGCGTCTTTGGCAATTCTCGCTCGTCTTTCCGGACGACGATCGATCTTAACCCTGTTATCCGAACTCGTAATATCGAGCGCATCCAGGGCATTATCAAGACCAGACGCATTAAGCGTCGCCAACTTGCCATCTCCGAGTCCGTCTAGACCTCCCAGGGCGGCATCGATACCACCAACCCTGGTCTTCTTCTGAGCCGACTTGGCATTCTTAGGCGCCGATCTCCCCGGAGTGTTCTTCTCCTCCTCGGCGAGCAGCGCATCACGCTCGGCCTTCTTCCGCGCGGCCTCCGCCTTCTTGGCCGCGTCCTCCTCCCTGCAACCACCCAAGACAGACACAGTCAGCAATCATCGAGGAAACTGCAACATCGGGCACCAGCACGGAGGTGGTGTGCACGGTCACGGGATGGCCCATGCAGGTCGGATTGGGTCCCTCATGGCCGGGTCGGGAGAAAAGAAGTCTGGGTGTGGCGTGCGCAGGTGTGGGGGGAGCGGGATGTGAGGCGAGGCGGGCAAGGTGAGGTGAGGCCAGGCAGGCAGGCATGTAAGACCGCGACCCGAAGGTGTGGTAATGTGGTTGGATAGGTATGTGACATGTCCCATTCTGGTGTGAGACGGCGACAGCCAACCGACAGGCCCTCGCCTTCTCTTTTGGGGCGGGATGATAGAATCAACAGGGGAGAGAAGAGGGAGGGAGGGACGGGCCGACCACCGGGTTTGGACGGAAAGGGACAGGTTGCTCGTGCTTTCGGACGGAAAGCAACAGGGCAGATCACTCACTTTTTCGCGCTCGCCTTCTTGGACCCCTTTGCCCACTCGGCGTCGTCTACCGCGGCCTTCTTCGAGTCTTCAGCAGCCTTCTTGCTGGCCGCGGCCTCGGCCTTCCTGGCCTGCCCAGCAGCCTTCTTGCTGTTCTCGCCAGCGCCGCCGCCCTTCTTGGCCATCTTGTTTCAGGTGTGTGTATGTATGTGCGCGCGCGTATAAGTGGGTAGGTATATGCGTGTGTTGGTTCCGGGGTTGGCTTGGTGCGGTTGCTGTTGGGCTCGGTGTACCCTCGCGTCCGGGTGACTGGACCAGGATCTGCGGCCTTTCGCTCTGCAAAGGGTCTTATCCGCGTAAAATGGGAGTGCTGCTGTGGCACCGGTTGGCGTCGGCAACACTATTTTTCTTCAGCGTTGTTTGGGTTGCAGTGCGTGGGGTGGATAGTATCGTGTGGGTTAGAAAAGTTTGGACGCGAGTGAGGCTGCGAGTCCATGCATGAGCAATGCCTTTTATCGACGTCAGCGGGGTTATTTTCTCACGCGTGCACTGGCGCCGAGCAGCGGAGGTGAGGTACGGCCCAATGCCAAGCATTGTGCGAGATGGTGGGTTCTATCTATGTATCTACCCTAGGTATTCTAATACTATATAGCCTGCGGAAGACCGAGTACTCAGTATCCAGAGCTAGAGAAATTGAATGAAATGTAATTTTGAATGTAATTGTCTACAATATGCATCTTCTCTTGCCATACTAGGACACTCGGTTGTTGTCTCGGACTCGGAGAGGAGGTCATACAAATATCCGTAGCCTATTTTCTCACGCGCACCGGTTCCCGGGAAGGGAGCTCGAGTTGTACATCGGTACCGGCCCTGCGGCTCCATTAAGAGGCGGAGTTGGATGGGACGTTGCTCCCATGCACGACCTGTGAGCCAGTCAAAGATTAGCACTCGTCAACTCGGTGAGCGTCTTCAAGCAGTAGACCAGATATCTTGCGGTCTCGTGAAGTGCATATGCAATGCACTGCCACGGCGTCACATTCTGGCCATTTGTACTGGTTTGGTACCAGGTTGGCCTCGCATCCATGGATCTTTGTCTTCTCAGCCTCCGTCGACTAGCGCAAGATGTGTGGCCCTTTGACAACGCCGGGTTGCTGCTGCTGCTGCATGAGCTGCTGCATGAGAGCTCGACACGGCGGTGAGGCTGCTAGCTTCTGGTGAGCTGGTCCTTGAAAACAAATAAACTTTCCAGGCGTGCCTAGACGAAGGCTAGGAAGTGGGCGGTATATCGGAGATGATGTTCTTATTCGTCGGAACCAACCCAGCCGCCGATCCGCCGTACACGTACGGCTACACTACATCGCATCGGCCAGTCGAGCTCCATCCCTGATGGCTGTCTTTGAAGAAGTCCCGTACAAGCCGGTGCTCTGCCACAGCTTGTACTGGGCTTCTTGTTCGAAGTACCCAATGCTTGGGGACAGACAGCCTTGCCGATTTCCAATAGGAAGTGACCGTATGCAATGCCAAGTGGGTCAGAACATCCAGACTTTTGGCGTCCGATGCGATGGATTGGGTGACACAGGCGGTAGAAGACAGCCCCGGATGTTAAATGATACCTTATGAGCTCCACAACAGGGCTGAAGGAATCGTTAACCCGAAGCCACTTGGCAGCGGCTTGCTGGGGGCGTCGATCTGCCTTCCGAAGGGTCCACAAGTGCTGATGCGACCTGGCGCAATGGACCGACTCCATCATCACCCGCAGTAGTAGAGCAGCAGGGGTTACGGGTGGCAGTGAAGTGATAGCCCTGGCATATGCTGGATAGTCGGTGTGTTTTACTATTGCGTTGGAGCCGTTATGAGGGTAGCATTCTCCGATTACCATCTCGGGCATTTCTGGCGAAGGCTGTCCGGAGGGAGCACCTCGCCATAGGCAATTTTAGGTGTTGTGGCGTTCTGGGGGCGGCTGACCGAGCTGGCCAGCCAGTACGACGTTGCCCCGTGCGGGTAGCCTTATGCCTTGTCATGATACGTCGAAGCCGGTGAGATAGAGTTGCCTTTCAACAGTAAGTTGGCACTCTTAAAACCGTGAAGCATGGCGAGACATGTTTGAGGGGTGGGCAGGGGACTCGGGTTGAAGGCCCGTAGCAGTTTGGTCGAGTACTTCCAAAGACTCCCCGGTACAGTTTTGGCACGAGAATCTTAACAAGCATGTACAGCGGCACAGCGGTCTCACAGAGGTACTTGACGTAGAGGCGCGGTATTTATCAGCGGTGACCAACTTCTTGTGTCGCCATCATCTGAGGCATACGATTGTGGCGAGCAAGCAAGGCTCAGAACGCCCCGATCGTCTCCCAAGCAGCTTCGAGTATATGTGCCCGGAAACTATGAGAGAGTCTGGAATGCCAATCTGCGGATTGCCGAGAGCCCTTTCTGTGACATTGACTTCAAATATGCGACGGCAGTATGTCTTCGGGCGATGGGTGAGGTGGACTCATTGCGCTCATCCGGCGTTTCCATCGTGAAGTGAGTGTGGAAGACCACAGGTCTTGGGCGTAATGACCGAAACTCGCCCAACGTGATCGCCGTCTTGTCCTACCGTGACCTTTTATGTCGTATCGAGTATCCAGGCTTCGCGGGTTGCCATTCCGGACAACAAATAAGATGTTGTCCTACCTAGCACCATCAGATGATTGGCGAGGATCGTGGATGTGGACATGATATCATGCAGCGATTCAGACCTCCGGAAGGTCGTCAAAAGAGCGGGTTCGAGCGGATCAACTGTGTATATGCACCGGTCTGGTCTCACTCACGGCCCCAGGGTCCGAAAGTTCGTTGCTGTAGAGTGTAGTATTGCATACCCAAGGGATCGTCCAACAGCCTGTACCGAGGTATGTGGCCCTTGAGGAGGCGATGTCACCGTTGGCACACAGGACACACTGGTGGTTTTGATCAATGGCCTGGTAGCCTGGGCGCCTGGTATAACAGCGAGACGGCACTTTCCCAATTGAAATGATTAGCAGGAGGATTGGGGGTGGGATGCAACTCATTGACAGAGCTCGGCTCTTCCTGATCCCCGGATTTGCAGTCCGCAGGCAAATACTGGCGGGTCAAGAGGTCACCCATACAAAACCGGGGGTCCACAAGTCCCATGGCCTGTTGTGTACAGCTGGCTTCGTCACGGTGCATCTTCCCCAGCATTTGCGGCCTCCACCGAATCCAGAATCAAGATCAGAATCCAGCAGTCTGAATAGCTCGTTTACTCGATCACCTTCTCTGAAATTGCGAGGACAGGACTCGAACTGAGACCAGTCTGGGCCTTCGGCTGGACGCTGTTGAAGCTAACGGCCACGAGAACTGTGAAGCAGGGGTGATTCTGATGGACTGCCACGAGATCGTCCTGCGTAAAAGCTCCACAGCTAGTCCGAAGTCTCCGGACGCCGGCGACCGTAGGAGCGCTAGCCCTGGGACCTGAACCTCTCCTGCGCGGTATCCTAGCGTAGTACGAGTGTAGGGTATCTTGATTCGGGGGTAGTTATTGCAAGAGCTGGGGGAGCAGCGTTGGTAATCTGACCGTGATACAAGCGTGGAGTCGATTTGGTGCGACTCATAGTCTACTGCTGGGTTGAAATCGAGAGGCCAGGGCATTCTGATCAGTGATGGTTCACCCGTTGACTGAGACAATTTGCGGATGACGGCCGTGTACAGGAAGGCAGAGGGCCTCGTGACCGCATTCTGTGACCTGGAACGCCACGCCAAGACGATGACAGCAGATTGTACGAGCTCCCTTGGCTTTGGTGACGTTACCTGGAGACTCGTAATCTTAGCTCACAGAAAAACAGCGTCTCAAGGCAGTTGCAGTGGCCCACGGTGCGACCTGTATCTCAAGATGTGCAATATCTGGGCGGCTGTCTCCCCGAAGCGTCCCATAATTTACTGGCTGTGCCGAACAAGATTAACCATGGTTAGCTGCAACGATTCGACGGGGCCCTCCGACAGAGCATCACCAAGGCTCACACGCAGTTGGACGAGGCAAGCCGCATGCTGAGGTGTGGACATGAGCTTTCTTGAGGAAGATCATGATGCAGGCGGCTGGGGTTGGGGGGAACAACAGCGGGTGCGATCGAGAACAACAATGGTTTTTACGGCCGTAACGCAGAATGACATAAATGACATGTCGTTTTTCGGAATGAGGCTGTGGCGATCCGAACTTGTCATTTCCAAAGCGCCGGGCGGCATTAAGAAGGAGATATTCAGATAGCCGCGAGATGCGTGGCGTGGTCACGACATTAAGGCCCGACCTTGGGGGTCGTAGGACAAGATTCGCCATGACAGGTAATTATTGGTAAGATTTGCGCTCCGGCTCAACAGAAAGTTGCCTGAATGCGGCCCATGATGATGCAGGCGGTGCAGGCGGTGCAGGCCGATCAGGGACCCCCTCCGGGTACGTTAACCGGCAGGCCAGCTCCATATTGACCGGCCGGATGGGCCATGATGGATGGATGCACAATTCTGGCACTGGGTGGTTCTGGTGGTGTGGTGAAGAATGTCCACCCTCGTACGACAGCATGTGCCCCCGTGGTCGAGCGGAGGATGGCAAGGTCCGCGGGAGGCCTTGACAAGAAAGAAGTATGCTGCTCTGTGCCGCGCTGTTGCTCTGGACGATGCTGGTTGCTTTTTCCTCTTTTCTGATGGTGTGGACGTCGATGTGATGATTGGCGATGCGTGCCTTGCCCTGGGACCGGTCAGAACGGTATCTGGTTTTCTCGAGACGGTGGACCAGATATGCATGCGAGTTCACGGGAAGGCACGAAGGGTACTTGACCGGAACAAGTGCTGCATCGGTTGCATCCGCTTGTATGCGAATGTGTTTGCCATCCCACATCCAATCTGCATTTCCGCGAGATGGTGTTGATGCTAATGCTGCTGCTGCTGCCGCCGCTTGCTTGCTTCGTTTGTGTCTGCTTCTGCTCTCTGCTTGTGATTATTGTTCTTGTCCTTCCTCCTCCTCCTTCTGCTGGGGCGAAGTTGCAGTTCGGGAGCCACGGTCGTCTTTTCTCGAAGTAGAAGGTCGTGGCTTCCAGAAGCATCAACGCAGTGGATGGCGGTGACAGATGGATCTGCACCACCACTCACTGCATGCCTTCCTGGGTGTTTTATTTACAGGTCCTATTTAGCCGTTATGTATTGCACCCCACTGGCAAAAGCCTGATGAGCTGTAGGTCTGTGGCTTGGCGCAGATACCGGCACCTGAGCAGGTTGGGGCACCTGGGCAGTGTGAGGTGTGTGAAGGCGTGCACACGCACACGCGCACTCTACTGTCGCGTGTATACACTAGAAGGCCATATAATAGATGAGAGATAAATGAGTGATGATAAGAGGCTTGGGATGCCACGTTCCTGAGGTGGGATTCGGCTCTTGGGTCTGCCCACTTCGGAAACCGCAGCGTAGCAGCCTGTCGAACTGGCTTGAC